TGTAGTTAAATGAGGTTACCCCATCCAAATTCAGTGGCGTCCGCAGGGGGGGGGGGCTTAAGGGCTAAAGCCCCCCCCCATTACCCGTATTATTATTACTTTTTCAAAAAAATATTAATTTAGTTAAACTGTCAACTATAGTAAGCAAGACGTAAATTTCAAATATGTCTTACCAGAATGAATTCATTTTTGAAAAAACATAGTATTTGTAACATACCAATTTTCATAAATTATCTGTAATTTTTCGGTAAAAGTATGAACTATTTGTATGAAAGACCTTGTATTAAATTGTCTAGCATTAGCTATACACATCTAATATTTAATAAGTTTTGAACTACAAATTAACTGTGGTTTTGACAATTTGAACTTTAAATGCTTATAAAAAATAAGCATGATGCCTATGTATCGTTAATATTTTAGCTATAATAAAAAAACATACGTATTACATTTTTAAGCTTTTTGACCGAATAAATAATTTTTATTGACATTTATAGAAAAAAAAAAATTTAATTATTCTAAAACAATCCAAGTGAAGACGGTATAACCAAACATTTAAATAAATTTTCATTTTTTTTTCTCAAATTATTTTTAAAAGCACTGAGCATTTTTAATTTCAACCTCCTAATAGTACCAACTAGATCCAATTTGCTTCCAAAAACATACACCGGGCATCATCGAAGCTTATGATCAGAGCATTTTTTCTACCAGAAAAGTTGAAAAGTTACAAACATTTTAAAATACCTCAAATAAACGTCTGAAATTATTAGACTGGACAAAATAAAAAGAAAATTGTAACTAATTTTCAAGCCTCCCCCATTGAAAAATCCTGCGGACGCCACTGTCCAAATTAGTTATTGTAACTTAGGTGTGAATATGAATATTATAATATATAGGTACGTAATATGTGTGTGTGTTAATGTTTTATGTACTTATTGTATATGACTACCCTGCCAGAAATTCTGCGCACGCGTATGCCTATATAGAGTATACCTGCACATACCATGACTGGTGCTTTATCTTATGTAAAAAGTGTAAAGTCGAAAACCGTGTTGGAGTTTCTAGCAAGTCAGCCATCTCAAGTCAAAATCTATTAACTTTCAAGTTAACCACTTACGTAGGCAATCCGACTTCGTCGGATCGCGGACAATGTGCTATAGCAAATCAGGTAGGCAATCCACCTGCGGTGGATTGCAGAGCCTACATCAAGCGGCTATAAGTGAAAACCCTATCACACAACTTACGAAATAATTTACAAAAAATTCAAACTATATACAATATACATACAAACAAATATGATATGTATTTATTGTGTGATATAATATAACAATGAACATTTTGAGAAATGTGCAATTATAATTCCTAAAAAAAATTAACATATAGGTAGATAGTTAGATATATGCTATTATATTAACCAATACAATACATATAAACGTTTAACTATAGTGTATACTGTATATAATATATTAATTTAAAAAAAAAAATGCAAATACCTGCATGTTAAAGTGTCTATCAAGTTAATCATCACCGTTTAAGACGAAACTAAAATGAGCAATCCGTCTATCACCTATATATAGCAGGTATATCACATAGAGTGGTATGTGCCTTCGCATGTCCGGTGCCTTTTCTTATGTAAAAAGTGTAAAGTCGAAAACCGTGTTGGAGTGTCTAGCAAGTCAGTCATCTCAAGTCAAAATCAAGATTAACTTTCAAGTTAGCCACCTAGATAGGCAATCCGAAATAAATTACAAACTATACTATTTATATAACAATCATGGAAAACTTTTACCAAAAAATTACAGATAACTTATGAATATTGGTATGCAAATAGGTACATTGTTTTTTCAAAAATGAATTCATTCTGGTAAGACATAATATATGAAATTTATGTTTTGCTTACCTACTATAGTTGACAGTAAAAACTTGATAAATACTTTTTTTTAAAGTAATAATAATAAGGGCAATGGGGGGGCTTCAGTCCATTAGCAACCCCCCCTCCTGCGGACGCCACTGTCTATCACAATAAAAAAATAACTCCCCAAAAACTCTTAATAGGTACGAATAACTTGCCATATAATGCGAAAAGAAATTAACGTGCATTTTATTTAGCTTATTTATTGGTTTTAGATATTTTAATTTGAAATTCTTGTACTGTGATTTCATAATTCCAATAAAGTAACAGTATAAAAACCTGCAGGCATTTGATCAAATTATAATAATGACAAAAAATGATAATCTAACTAATCGAATTAATTTTATTTTTGATAGTATTGTATAATGTAGTATGAAAATATGTAATACTGCAAGGGCCTGAATTTTCTGGTGACAAAACCCGCAATTTTCACGGTTGATTTTGATTTCAACTATATTGTTATGAGTTAGCAATATATTTTATTATTTTTAGGTACCTACCTACCTGTAGTGATTATGAAAATATAATTATGAAATCTAATTAATATTTTATTTTGTCTGAACTCCGAATATTTTATTATTAAGAAAATAGGATAAAAAAAATAATCAAAATATTTAAATTCTTGAACTGAGATACTATAGTCTATAAACTATCAATTAGTTCATGATTCTAATTTATAATCAAAACATTTACAACTAAAAACTATATAGGTTGTGCTAACTCTGCAGGTGATGCCATGGCATATCCAGCATCCCCCCTGCGCACGGCTATGCTATCAAGATAAATAATTTGTAAAATTAAATTGTCATTTGAAAAATTTAAGTTTGTATAGCCACAAGACACTCTTTAATAGTAGTACAAAAAATATCAGGAATTTGAATATATATTGTCTTTAGGTATACATAATAATTCTAAAAATCAGAATTTGAATAAATGTATTTTTAAAGGAAAACATTTGGTGAGCATTTTTTCACCAAAATGTCAAGTAAATTTTGTATTCCATTATGGGGCCCCTTAAAAAACTGATCCTATGGGCCTTTGGTGTCCCAGGCCAACACTGTACTTAACCATCTAGGTAATATATATATATAAACATATATATTGTAATTTTAGGGTATAAGACATTTTTAACATAATAATATACAATATTTATTTTATTTTTAATATAATATTATTATATATATAATTTATAAAAAAATATCATAATTCTTTTAAATTATTTGTACATAGTCAATCCCCGGTATAATGCTAACGGGGATTTTTTTTCCCCAATTCTCGCGACACTGATCGTACCTACAATATTCGCACAAAGTACAAATGGCTTAAATCATTGTATGTGTACGATAACTATCGTACCATTGTCCAATCCGTTATTACGAGTTATCCAATCCGTTATTACCAGTTGTCCAATCCGTTATTACGAGTTATCCAATCCGTTATTACGAGTTGTACAATCCGTTATTACGAGTTGTCAATCCGTTATTACGAGTTGTCGAATCCGTTATTACGAGTTATAATCTATAATAATGACTTGTGATAATCCATAATAATGAGATAAAAAAAACATATGGTTGGCCCTTCAACGCTTCCGTACAATTACACTGTGGTCTACCGCCATGCTATCTATGATTGCAGTCAAAACCACATATATTAATTCTTGTGAATTTATTGATCAGTAGACAGCGCCACCAAGCAGTCAGATTAACTGTAAGCACTATCGTGGCCGCTTCAGCCTATACATTATCATACGTCGTCACGCAACCATACTATCTTTAATCGTGGTAAATACTACTAAACAAATCTTAATTCTTATCAGTAAATACCGCTACTCACCCGTCACCAGTGTTGTATACTTATATTTCAATAATTTGAATGACAATAAGATCTTATTTGCCAATTTGTCATGATAATTTGTATTTTATCTGTCACGGAATAGTATATAATGTACCTGTAGACTGTAGTAATTACTGATAAACTACGATTTCTGGGACTTGACAGTTTCTAAAACATTGAGTTCGATATTGATATACTTAAAACATTTCAATTATAATACTGTGAATTATACCTTGTTTTTCTATCTAATTTTTAAAACCGGATTTTGATGTAAGTACAATTATAGCATACATATTATTATTAAGACAATACTTTTATATTTTAACCGCTAACAAACTTTTATCAAGTTATTTTATTACAGAATATTAGGTAGAGTTTTACACTCAATGAATGTTTTTATTATACTGCATTACTGATTGTATTATTTTTGGAAAATATAATAAAAAGTTCCCCAGAATAAAATAATATTAATTGATGATAAACAATATCAGTTAGGCATGTAATAAAATATTCTATGGTTTTTGTATTGTTTTTATAATCGTACAGTAATTCAGTAATGATAGGTATGACCTATTTAGTACTTACTTATGTTATGTTTTAAGTTTGTTTCTATTTTCTCTTAAGTAATTACCACTGAATATTTCCTTCTGCATAGCTGTGATTATTATGCATAATTAATTTTTTTAAATTAATCATATCCACCTAGCTAGGAGGTAGGTAGCAAGAACTTAGAAAAAAAAAACTATTATATAAATTCTCATTGGATTTCTTAAAAAAAATATAGAAATGGTCAGAGTATGTAGATCAATGAATCCCAACATGGGAATTTTAATTTTGAGGGGGGCGTTTAATTTTATTAGATTTAAGAATTTAGGATATAAAAACCCGGGAGAGTGGTATGGGGTTTTTGAAAATCTAAAAGGGGATTTGAGTAAAAAAAAGGTTAGGAATCACTGATGTAGATGATCAGTCTGGCTAGCTATAGTGTAGTACATTTGAAATGATCTATTATGTTCCCAATAATAAAGTTGATAAAATTAAATTTTTTTTAGCAAATTTCCCAATTATTTTAAAATAGAATGAGATTAGTGAAGGTTATTTTAAATAATTAAATTCAGACATAATGAATTTTGATTTATATTGAATTCTAAGCAATATGTATATATTTTTGTTTTGACAGATTGAGTAAGTAAATATATTAAAATTGAAATATATATTTATATATACCTATTACTACTCACCTATATCAACAAATAGAATGGCATCAAATTTAAAAACTACGGATACAGAGAAATTAAATATGGGAATGAAATCAATAGTAAGTGAATTTGAAGTCAGTTGTGATAAAGCCAAACAATTGAAAGATAACAAAGAGTTATACAACCAAATGAAATATACTGTCAAAAAGTTATCAATTGAAGGAGAAAGCATTGACTATGCTACACAACTTTCAAATTTCAGTGAAGCTTTAAAAAATGAACAATTGTTTTACTTTAATAAGACTGGAATTTCTCAAAACTTTTTATCAAGAGATGTCCAATTAGAATCTGCTGCAAACATCCTACAAGAAACCGGTATTGATGATTATAATGCAAGTAGCCTATTCACTAAATATTTGTCAATGATTGAAAAATGTAATAAGCAAAAAGAATTTATTGATGACATTGATGAACATTTAAATAAATTAAAAATGATAATTGAACAACAGAATGATCTTAAATGCGAATTATCTAATATTAACTACTCACCTATAGGCTATACAGCTGAACCTATCAATATTAAGCCAATTGAAAGTATACAGACTGTAGACAACTGTGATGAAATTGTGCAGTTGGTCAAAAAAATAACAGACATTGAAAAGAAACAGGAAGAAATTTGTTCAGAAACTTCTGAATTAAAATCTGAACAGAAAAAATTGTACCATGGATTACCACCAAATATGGATCAAGCAATGATGGCAGTACAAATAGCAGAGCAAGCAATGAAGGCTATAACTAAAAAATTAATGGAAAAACTTTAGAAAATATAATTTTGTAACTGATTATCTTCAACACAATGTATAAAAAATATTGTTATTTTTATTACTTACTATTGTTGTAATAATTTATATATTAACTGTATTTATGTGAAACTGGATTTCATAACATAATAATTAATTTAAATTTATACCATTTTTTATATGCTTTTATTATTTTTAGTAATCATAAATATATATTTTTTTTAAAAATGTGTTTATACTTCATAGTTTAATATCTATCATTTTCCTGTTGCATTGGTCAAAATATTTTACCATACTCTGTCCAGATTAAGATTGAACCTCTCGCTCGACCAAAACACGTTTTTTTTTCGCATTCTGGACACCGGTAGGAGCGTATGCACGGCCGCCAGCACCGGCGCCGGCGATGACTGTCGGCCAATCACAGAATGCATAACCATCGCATGGGGGGTCAGGCACTGTTCGGTGGCTCAGTTTGCATGAGCGAAACCGGTTCAATCTTAACCTGAACTGAGTATATAAGTTATTATTATTATTATCAATCTAACAAAGAGTTAATTAATAAATATTCTAATAAATATATTTAAATAAAATTATTATTTTTAATATTTTTTTTTTTAGTATATCATTCATTATGTTTGATGAAAATACAACAATGGAATACTTATTTCAAGTAGAAAGACAAGCAGAAAAAATACTTCTTAATAAAAGTGAAATGGTTGCATTGGATAAAAGTAGAAATAGTAATCGCATGGCCATTAGAGCATTAACAAACTGTAAAATACCAGAAGACAAGATATGGATGGCAGTGGGTTTAACAATGGTAAAAGTTTCTGTTGAAAAAGCTAAAACTATGCTACAAGCAGGTACACCTATATTAATATTTGATTAATTTATCATCATCATGTATAAAAATACATAAATAATTTTCAGATCAAGTTACATTAAATAATCGTATGAACATTCTTCGAAGCGACATTAAAGTTGAAGTGAATAAATTGAATGATATGGAATATAAAGAACCAGTGAAAGGGTTATTTTTAAATCCACTTACAAAGAAAGAAATGAAAGCAATGAATCAAGTACTCGGAATAGCTGATTAAACATAAGTGTCTTATTAACGATATATTAATTTAAATGAAAATATAATTATTTACTTGGAATATTAAGCATTTATTGTGGCTATATTTATACTTTAATGCTGTCAGGTAAATTTTTCTCTGGATAACCATACAAATATATTATATAATTATACAGTTGTAAAAGGCTGTAACTGTGAGGGCCAAGGGTCCCCGGCCTCTCTTGCACACATACACACATTATTTTTCAGTTACAGCCTTGCAGTCATAAATATTTTATCAAAGAACACAGATTATTTAAAAAACTAAAAGATTAATAAATATTTTTCACATAATTTTAAGAGATAACATATTTTAAAAGGATTCAATTTTTACTGTTTTTTAATCGGTTTCACTTTTTAGGTATTTTCACTGTGAAGTTTGCGTTTGACAACTATATATTTTAAATTTCATATTTTAAAGCATAATATTATTTTGAGTACTTTGATTTATAAACAAATTTTTAAACAATTTACAATACATAACTGTATTGCAATAATATTTACATATGTTTTAAATTATTTAATAAAATTTACTTTAATTAATCTTTAAAAAGGCGTACACCATCGTATAAACTTTTTCTTCAACATAAATATATAATAATCATAATATGTACTAAAAACAAACTTTTATTCTTCCTCTTTTATACATTTTTCCACTACATCTCTTAAACTTGGATTTTCCATTGCAGCTGCAACACGTTCTTTATCGTTTATTTGTTTGTTAACTGTAAATATAATGAATTAGTTTATCGATAGTTAAAAACTAATAACAATCCATAAAATGATGATTACTTTCTTCTTCAGTTGTGTGAGCACCTTCTTTAATGTATATATCCAATTTAACATTCTCCAAAATAGATCTTATAACTTTAATCCTTATGCTAAGGCCAATTAAAGTAGCTAAACTGCAATGTGGTACTGTAGGATTAAATTCAATTCGGACAGTATATAGTTTCAAGTTTCTTTGATTAATTACCTGAAATTATTATTTTCAAAGTTGTCTTTTTAGTAATTTCCATACGGAACAAGGGACACAAATATATTATGATTCTAGCACATGAAAATAACCATAAAATTACAATCTGGCAAGTATGGTATAATCCGTGGTATAGGTGATGAATGTATAACAATTATTTTATAAGTTATAAGATGGCATAAAAGTTTTGATTTAATTTAATTGATTATTTCTTAGAACAATTATATTGTGTAAAAATTAACTTGATTTATTATACATTCAATATTTCAATCTACTGTATGATTGAGAAATGATTAATTAATAATTTACATAGATTCGAGGATAACTAGTCTGGTATTTTAGAAGATAAATAAATGTAATGATTTGTTTACTGAACAGCGATGAAGAGTAATAATAAGTAGTTATTTTAAAATGGTAGTTTTTCCCTTCTCTTATCCATTGAATAACTTAGCCAATTATTTTTAAATGGTAAATGTAAATAATATTTGCGCAAAGGCTGCCGACCCCACAAAATACTGTAGTGAAGAGCAGAAGTAGACATGTATGTACAAGTTAAAGTGTAAGTTAAATGAAAGGATATATTATAATATTTATTTACCAATTAATAAAATCATTATTTTTAATACTGACCTCTACTCCATTTTCATACACGACACTAAGGTCTTCCAGCGTAGCTGGTTTCTCCGGATCCTTAATTGTTCTAATAATATCTATTTGTTCAAAAATAATTTTAAAACCAATTAATAATATTATGTAATTATCAAACTGAGTGATGATACCCACCATAGATTTGGTCCTTCAATTCATGTGTTTTTTCGTCGAGTTGTTCATCAGTAGCCTCAATTGCGATTGGGTTTGCCGTAGTATTTCCGCTGTCATTTTTTAAATACTTCTCTTGAATAATTTTTTTTGTTTGTTGCATGAGATTAGCAAACATCATCAACAAACTACTTATAGTCAAAATCATGAGCAATTTTTTTTCTTTGTACTTCGGTTTCGATAAAATATAAAAATTTCATACACAAAATTTGGTTTTATAAGTATTATTTTAAATTGTTTTCGTTTCGCACATAGACATAGTTACTGATTACAAATTACAATACAAATGATTATGATTATTATTATTTATTATAATCCCTGAAAACAACCATTAAGTAACAACAACAACAACAAAAACAACATGGGCTGATAATTGATAAATGATAACCGTATGTCCGTGTCATCGCCCGCGGTGGACCGTGGACGGAATGTGCGAATGTACTATGATATTATTAAATTTTGTGTTTAAAGACGTTTAAAGTTTAGATTACAATTTATATTTTACAGCACGATTTAAGAAACCTAATATAATCTTAAATCGAGAATTACAGTGTCACAGTGACCTACACAATAACAAAATGCAGTTTTTTTCCTGTGGTATCATAACTGAGGTGGGAGAATCATAACCACAGATTATTTAGAAATGTATTCATTTTATTTAACTACCTACTACTATAGTACTATGTCATAACCATAGACGTAATATAATATAATATAATATATTGTGTCTATAGACATAACAACTACTATGAACCATAGACCTTAACCTTGGTGTGAGGTCTATGCTGTGAACACAGATATAAAATAATTAAATATTTTATATCTGTGGCTGTGAACCATGAATTTTCTTTATCATGCTGTGAACTAGTGAAGAGGGTCTGAGCCTCTGAGGGTGTAAAACCGCATGCACAGTAAAAAACAACTACAGAATAGATTCATTTTAAAATGTAATCTATTCTGTAATTTTAAATTTAATCTGTTATGTTTCACAGCAACTATTTACGATCTAAAATTCTAAAATCGTGGTCACAACTGAGGCGGGAACGATAGGGTGTACCAAAGTTGATTGGTTTAGTCTTTTAGAACTGTTTTATTGCGGAAAAACACGGTATTCGGAAACACATATTTTTGAACTGTATTTTATTGAATCATTTATTTCTTTGGAATCATATACACTAAACCGTTTAAAATAATATATTATGTCGGATTGTCGGAACTCAGAAGCATATTTTTAAGGACAATATTTATATTATTGGGTTACGGACTTACCTTACGGTATAGGCAGGGCCGGATTGGTTAGGCGAGCTACCGAGAAAATCGAATCCCGGAAAAAAAATCCTGATCATTCTAAATATTTTTATAATTTTTTTAACAATATAATATAATATATTATATTATAATAGAATAGAATATACGTATTTATCATTATATATTAATTATAGATACCAATTAACGTTCAAAATATATTTGTTCAACCATTTGCATGTGATTGTGAGTAATATTGTATTTGGGGATTTTTTTTCCTAGGGTCGGGGATTTTTTTTCCGGGGTTTTTCGTCGGGGGATTTTTTTTCCGATTACCGAGAAAATCTCAGTGGGCCGCTTGAAGTTTGGGCCGCTCGTTTGAGTGTGGGTGAAAATAAATTTATGTTTAAAATACGATTGACCGCCTATATAAGCTCGTAATAATTATAGACTTAATTTTGGGCCACTGAATATGTAAATGGGCCTCTTATAGAAGTGAAAATCTCGATGGGTTGATACATACCAATCCAGCCCTGGGTATAGGTGCGGTTCCTATCAAATACATTTCCAACAAAATATAGCCCTCCCAAAGTCCCAACTCACCTGCAGGCCTTAAGTTTCCATCCCATATAGCCATGAAGCTATTATTATATATTATAATGGATTACCATTCTCAAAACTGAAGCCATCAAACAAAACATTAGACAATTTTCTACAACTGCAGGCAAGTGGCAACAGCTCAGAATTAAAATGGTGCTCGACAAGACGTGCGACCAATGCGGGTACCGCTCTTCCGTAAGATGGGTATCGTGTGGGTTACCTACTGAAATGGAAGTGTATTAAATTTTAATTCGATGATATGAAATCATTATATACGAAAACTGATTATGAGTGAAGATAGAACATCAGCCTATATTATTATAACTATAGTCCACGAATTAAGATACATCTTAATTCGTGATATAGTCTATACCTATACCTATATTGATGATTATATTATGCTCATAGCTCATAAGCACAACCGCCGCAATTGAATAAGATTCCAAATGACCAAATACAAGTAGTCAATATTTTACCCTTAATAAGTACCTAGGTGGCTAGGTATCTTTGAACTGGCTCGCTACCTCCTTTTAAAAAAAATATAATATTGGTTAGGTACCAAAATGTTATTACCTAATAATAGTCGTCATTGTCAGCAGTGTTAAGCCCAGGTAATTTGTTTTTCATCTAGACAAAGATAAAGATAATATACATACCAAAAATCTATTTCGATAAACATACTATAAATAAACTCAACTAAAATGATCTATTTAATTATTTTAAAAGATATAAGATAATCATTATTAGTCTAGTACCTACTACCTACCAAATCGTAGACTTATAATAATTAAGGTTCGGATTTGAAGGCAAAAGCCTTTTTTTTTAATAATAATAATAAAGAAATAATTTTTATATAAAAATGAGTGTCATTTAATATATGTAAGATGATGAACGTATTATTTTTGTTGCCTTTTTTTACAGATAAATTCCTTTTTGCCTTTTTCACTTATAAAGGCCTTTGTTGTGTTTAATTTTCAATTGATTTAATAGTTTTATACACGACATACGTATAAACAGTACAGATCGATTTTCTGAAGTCTGTGCATTGTCGAATGTCGGCTGTTAATTATTTTTAATGGGTTTTATTTGTTATCGACGATATTTACCGATATCACTAAATACTAAGTAAATAGTAAATACTTTATCGAATTTTACTCGATAAAAAAAATTCGAGCTATGCCGCTGTCTAAGTCGGTAGTTCGGATAATTTGAAAAAAATAGTAACTTTCATGATTTTTTGCTATTAATATTATTATAATAATTTGTATTTTATGCGCAAGTTTAATGCCTTTTTTTAAATTTACTGACCAAGATATTATAATTATAATTTTTACTATTATTATTAATTACTCGTATTATTGACAACTTTCACAATTCACAAACGAACTCTAATTTTGTTTTACACTGACTGAAAATAATATTATTAACATAATTTTTGTTCACATTTTGTTAAGTATTTATGTATTATAATATTGGTTTAGTATAGCTTTGGGTTTTTTTTTCCTATATTAGGATTTGTTGACTCACGAAAAACCAACGAATATTTTAGATTCTGAGTGGAACGATGAATGTATTGATTTTATGTTGTGTGCTTTTTTATTTTATTATTTTTGTGTCTGTCATCATCTTTTAGGACAGTAAAAGTGCTTGAATTTTCTTCAACAGTATCTTTACTGATAGGAAAGTGCATCTAGTTGGTACTTTGGGGGGTCAAAAGTAGTTCCCAGTAGTTTTCAAAAGCGCCTTGAAAAACAAAAGAAAAATCAAGGAAAAACTGGAATTTTTACACAAAATCTATTTTCGAAAAAATCGAGTTTTTAGTGCAACTCTTAAACAAATGATTATAGTTACATGAAATTTTGACTGAATTTTTATAAAAGCATTTTCTATACCCGATAAAAATTTCAAAATATTATGATTTGCTTTGAACTGTATAAGCCATAAGGACATTTTCAGTTTCCAATTTTATTAGTTTTTTTTATGAATATCAATAAAAATTTATTTGTTGAGTAAAAATGCTTGAACATTTAATAGAAGGCTCCTAGTATATTGTTTCAAAGGCAGATGAAAAATATTAAAAATCCTTAGTCACAGTTTTTTTTATAAGCATTTAAAGATCAAAAATAGACAAAATATGGAAAAACCACGAAAATTATCAAATAATTTTGAGTTAAGAATTCGTAAAAATGTTCTTTTTAAATCTAAGATTTTAAAATGTAATACGAGATTTCTTATAAGATCTAATCTAATAAAGTACAAGTATAGTACATTTTTACGCAATATCAGCTTTTGACAAATTTGATTAGGTTTTTTGGTGCAATAACTCAAAAACGAATACCTACCTAACCCTAGATTCTTGAAATTTTCAAGGAATGGTTATATTCACTTATATAAGTATTTTATATAGAATCTAGAGGTACTTACGTCATATGACATTTTCGATTTGTATAAGTTTTTATTTGAATAGTGTTGATAAAAAAACTTGTAAATAATGAATGAAAAAAAATGAATATAGAAATTCGAGAGACTAAAATATAATTGGGTAATACAATTATACAAAGGTATCATGTTGAAGCCTTGAAAGCCAATAGGTATTTGATGGGGTTCAAAGTGGAATGGGTTACGGGTCGGTATTTCTCTGTATCTGTGCAAGAAAAACATGATATAGAAACATTATTGAGGATCATAAAGGATTGAATTTTGTCTGAAACTGCGCTAATATTATTATAGTTATTTTTAGATTTTTAGAGTTATGACTGTTTGGTGGTATTGATATAGAGAACCTGACCTATCACACAGTTGAATTCAAAAACTAGGAAACTAGGGAAAAAAAATATTTTTTTTTTTTTAAATTATGTTTCACCGTGTATCTTAATGATAATAATTCACATATAAACATAATATTAACAGTCAACACCATGCCTTGAGTTCTGATGAAATATTATATTAGGTATTACCTAATAAAATTATTTGTATATATCTATACCCTTATATGAATATAGATATTAAAAACAATATATTATAATGTATTTAATAAAACAATTTTATATAATTATAAGAATAAAAAGCACGAAAACTATTTTCGAAAAGAAAAATAATTTTTAAGACAGTTGTAAATTTTAAACAAAAATAATATAGAACAAACATTTTTCACATGATCAATATTTTTTCCCTTCTTTCATGTACAATAAACACATATTATCCATTGTTTGTCACAAAAAATACAATTTAATTTATTTAAAAAGTTTGTAAATATTATTATTTACTAATTAAGGTGAATGCATTTATATTTGCATACAATAAAATTATTATTAGTTCTAATAAATGTATATTATATTTTTAAAAAGATTGACCATGTTTCAGTGTATAGTATAATTTTCTACAATTTTCTTATGTTCCAGAAATAAGTCATAAATCTACATTGTTCCAGAAAAAAATAATGTGTTACAATTGAACAAATTTTGTGACAAAAAAAAAAAAAAAAATTATAAATATATATATAAACATGTGGTGAAAAAGTAAATGTATTTTTAGAAACGCAACAAAGACCTAATATTAAGAAATATTGAATTACTTAATGCTAATGAAAAAAAATGACAATCATTACCACAAACTAATGCTCTTTTTTTACGAGATACGACATATTCACCAACTTTACCCTTAATCTGTTACCATTTAAATAGCCATTTTAATAACACTGATCTTTCTTTAATAAACTGCTTTTTCTCATGGCTAATAATTATGGGATTTTTTATTTTTATTATTAATAATATTATTTTTTTTTTTTAATATAATTTATTGGTAATTTATAAATGACAAACACACTGCTAACCCATCTGTGTAGTTTTGTTCATAAAACTCGTTTAGGTTTTGCGCGGTCATTGATTCAATTTGTCGTAGTAAAAGTATTTTATAATTCAATCCCAAAAGACACCATCAAGTGCCTTTAACTTTGGTTATTCACACCCACGGTGTCCAGCCTTCATACAGCAGTGCCAAATTGTCTGGATTCGTGGCTTCATTTATCACCCAATTAACCTAATAAATGAAATGTATAATAATATATTTAATAATTTTATTAATTGAATATATATATATAATATAAAGTATGAAAGTTAAAAGAATTAAGAATGGACACTCAAACAATCGCTTTTCAAATTATAACATTTTTTTAAAGGTTAAATTTTTATAAAAGTTAATTTAACCTTTTTTACGATAGATATTACTACAAAAACAATATTGCGGTTGAAAAATTAGATGAAGAGGACAAGATGATGCATGTGGTATTTTCCGTCTTACAAACGTACAACATATCAAACCTGCGTTTAGCACAATCTATTTTGTGTTGTATGTGTTAAAATATTACAGTAAATTTACCTATCTTCAAATTTAAAGGTAAGAATATTATCAGTGTTCTCACTTTCTTTTATTATTTTAAATTTAGAGTTTTGAGCATTTTTACATTTTTAAAACATACTTTAAAATTAAAATATAAAAAATAACCACGAGAGAACATAATATTCATTCCTTTAAATTTGATAATAGTTCAACATAGTGTAATATTAAAACTAACAACAAAAACATGATTCTTCTAAACACAAATTTGGTATGTATTAAGTTTGATGGAGCAAAACATACGTGCATTAGTCCTCTTAATTAAGAACATTGTTGCTTCAATTAAACTTGAGATGGATTTTATATATTGTAACATTGTAAGTATATACTTTGTTTTTTCATTAAAATTTTTAATTTATTTAATATATTAGATTTTCTCAAAAATTAAAATATAATGTGCCGAAAATACACTTCTTTTAGAATATCGGAAAATTTATTTAATAGAAACAAATTAAAAACTAAAAAGTTTTAATAGAATTTGAAGTTTGAAAAAAATTAGTTTTCACCCTATTACACAGATCATTCAATTTTTATTACCTGTTCAGTAACAGTTGATCTTCGACCAGGATCTGGATCTCTACCTTCAAGTTTCATTCTTACACGTCGCCAAACGCTTACAGCGTATGCGTTACACTTTTGAACCGCTAGAAAAACATTGTTTAGATATTTATCGACTATCAACCCAACTAAATTGTTTAAAATTCAAATACCTTTTCCTGTATGGGGATCTCTTGGTAATCCTTTTCTTGGTGATAAACAAATGCTATCCTGACGTACCAAAGGTGGACGTTTATGCTGTTTTATAAGTAATCCTTTTTCACCCAAGATTGTTAATAAATCATCATAAATTTGTGCTGAAATAAAACATATAAATTAGTATAACATATTTTGTTTAACTGTACAATCGCATTTATTTACGTGTTTTTTTGTGAAGTGATTGAATTGATTCGAGCAAAACATTCACTTGTTGAATAGTTGGTTCATTAATTATTGTTAATTGTTCAATTAAAGACATTAAATGGTCTAAATAAGAACAATATTTTGTTAAATAATTTATACTAGCTGTACCAACATTATCAATCTGAAAAATAAACAATTTAATCAGTTGTATATTATTACTATTATACAATATATATTTAAATAATTTTGAATTAAGAGGGACGGAGTGGCCGAGCGAACTAAGGCGTCGGCTGCGATGTAGCCAACGCCGATTCGATACATCGGGCGGCATTTTTCTTCGGGCAAGTCAAGATGTCTGGAGAACAAGTGCCGCCATCCCCCACCTGGGGCATGGCAATAACCTACGGGTGCCCCATTAGGAATTCTGCTAAAACACAACACACACGTGTACCAACCTACCCAACCTAAAAAACCCCACAATTCCCTTCCCACACCCAATGGCCTATGTTGCCGCGGGTTATCCAAAAAAAACAATTTTGAATTAAAACAAATGAAAATAAATATTTTACAGTAAATAGCAAAAACAATTAAATAATTGAGACTAAATAAAATTTCTTAAAATTATTATTAACTATTTGTATAATTAATAGTAAAATACATAGCACAGTTTATTAAATATTTAAATATTTTAACATACTTTTGTCAATGACTTTAATAATAAACGAACATCCGATATTATTTTATTATGGGATGTCAAAGTGGATTTAAGAACATTCAATTGTTCTTTAATCAAAATTTGAATACAAGCAATTTCTGATCTGAGCGGTTCTTGGGCAGCCATTAATTGTTGAACATTGTCTAAACACAAAGACGTATAAATTACATAAATTCAATTCACATTAAACTAACAAAAAAATATTATTGAAAAATCACAATGATAACAGTATAATATTATGAAATAATTAGATTTATTAGATGATTTACCAGAAATAATGTGAACTGTGTTGTTCAACCAAGTCCACTCAATAGGTCCTTGAGGTATAGGGACTACTTTAATAAGGGTTTCTTCTTCTGGCGTTATTGATATACCAATATTTGTAGCCATGTAACATGCTTTCTGATAATCTTCGACCAACTATTAAAAATAATAAAATCATTAGTATTTATTTTATACACATATTGGTGTTATAACATAATATAATGTATGATTATTGGTAGAATTACTAGTAACAACAACTTAATTATATTTAAAAGTTTTTTAAAAAATAAAAATCATTATTGAGTAATATAAATACTTGTAAAAATGAAATATCAGCAGAAATAGCTTCTGAAGTACGGGTGAATAATGATTCTGTTTGCAACAGAGAACTGACTACTGTCAATATAGAACTGCATAAGTTTTGGTTGGTGTCAATCATTAATTTTTCATGTTTCATTCTGTTTCCAAAATTATTAGCCATCTAAAATGTTAACATTTTACAGTATAAAATGTATTACATATTATTATAATTCACAACTTATGAAATGCTTAATTCCTATATTATCAAACTATCAACATGTGCTTAGTATATTATACCTCTACAACAGTTGGGTTTGCCCCTGAAGCCCATTTTAAACGTTGATCAACACTCGATGTTAATGAACTTCTATGTTCCATGTGTTCAATAATTTGAGATTGCATTACTGCCAATGGCGATAATATATTGTTCAATTCCATCAAAATTGTACCACGATCTTTAAAAGTAAATGGAATAAAAATTAAATTAATTCAACATTTTGAATAACTATGTACTCACCAGGAATGAGCAAGTTATCCAAATGTCCAGCAGCTGGGATAGCATGGAGCCAACAATGGGCTGCATATTGTATGGCCAATCTTTGTGCACCAATGTCTGATTGATGAGCTCTGTGTGTCAAATGAGTGTGTCGTTCAATTTTTCTCCAAACTTCTTCTAATTTTGTCAAAGAAGATGATAAATCCATCGATTGGCCACGACTAAATTTACCAACTTTAATTCCTTCTTCCATACACTTTTTGCAGAGTTCTTCTAAAGGAACTTTACTATCTGCTCCAATATCTCGTTTTTCTAATTCAGCTGTGGAACAACAAAAAAATTTATGAAATTTAAAAACTGGGTTGTTTGGGAAACAAATCCTCAAGGAAAAAAAATTACTGTAAAAAAATCAGCAGTATAAAAAAGTTATATCCATTTAATACTTCTTAAATTGATTAATAATAATTTTAATGATAAAATATTAAATAGGTGTAATAGTACTATTACTATATAGTAGGTACAAGGTACTATATAGGAGTAAGAAGTGTTCTTTTTATATTGCAGGTACTAACTAGGTGCAATATTTGAGGTAATATACTTGTTCTAGTTTTGTTCAAGCATATAATTTATCTATTCATGACCATAGTGAATTATATAGAAATTGTAAGCTTAGACAATGGCCATAATATGTATCCATTGCAAAAAAGTTTGTTTGCATTTACTTTGATGGTGTTGTTCAAAATGTAATTCGATAAAGTGTCGTGTAACATTAAAAATGTTGTAATTATTTAGTATTTTCATTTTACATAATTTAAATTTTTTTTCATTATATTTGAATAGTTATTTTTTTGTAAAAATCTATTATATATATTATTATTATTTATTAATATATAGTTTATATAGTTTTGAATATACCATGCTCTTTTGTACTTCATCTAATGGTAAAAAGCTAAATTAATATTTTAAACATTTATAATAATTTTTCTACACTTAAATTATTATTAACTATTATTAAGGCTGTAAGTACATAACATTAGAATGGATTAATCTTTATACTGGTTTTTTTTTTCTAGAAATAAGATTTTTTACTGGGATGTTTTTAACCAATTTATAAAAATTGTATTAGGTTTTAAAAGAACAAATTATGTTACCATTGATATTGAACCCGGTATGTTGCAATAAAAAGCAAATATTCACAGCCACTGTGTGTGAAAAGAGGCCTAATAATCGTTTAGTTAAATAATCAGCAACAAAACATCTCACGGGCTTGGATATCACATCTTCATTATAGCGAGAACCACTACGACACTGTGTGTTTCTACCTCCAAAGTTAATTGCTACTTCAGCACACATGTTGAAAACTTCTTTCATAGTTAGAAGAGACTTCAAGAACATTATATCATCTAATATGCTGCAAGGGCCTTCATCCATAACAGCTCCCTTTGAATTAATAAAGTAAATTGTAAGTATTTCAATTAACGTATCAACTAGTAGACCTTACAAGTAATGATTTTGCTTCTCTAATTTGATCGACGGTTTTCCAAGCTGTAGAAACTTTGAGCTTGGATGTCATTTTAATGACATTTTCATTAGCCAAAGATACATCTTCAAAAAGACCATTAAAGCCAATTAAAAGCATCTCTCCTTGAGATAATACTACATTTTCTGGTTTTTTTATCAATTCAGCAAATTTTGTTCGTACTTGTTGTACAATTGTTCGACAATCTTCATTTGGGGACTGAAATTAAACAAAATATATATATATATTGAATCTTTCATATTGATAGTGTTTATAAATAAAAAAATATTGTATTAAAAAAATGAGAGAAAAGTTGAGCCTATAATGAATGTATAGGTTAGGTGTATAGGCTCTTCCGTATTAGTATTTAAACTGCAGTACCACCAGATGTATTATATTAACTATTGACATAAAAAAATGATTATCAACTAAAGTAGAACAACACTAGATATAAATAGGGATGCTCTCCCAACTGGTAATTGTTTTACTTTAAAATTACTCAAAAACATAAATAAAACAAATTTGTGTGAATGCATTTTGTCTATGTTGTGCATGAGCTAGATAAAGAAAATAAACAATGTGCTGACCTACTCTTAATGACATTTTAAAAGAACAAAAAAAAAGTAAATTACCTTCATTCCCATTATCACGTGTCTAAGATGAACATTGAGTTGTTCTATCAAGTCACTGAAGTTCAATGAACAATTGTTTATCACATTATTTAACTCTGTGATAATAGTTATTGTACTTGGTTCTTCCACACATAATTTCTTAATAGTTTCTGGCATTATGATATCCAAAAAATTGTAGTTCATTTTCTATAATTAGAAATCAATAGGCTTTAATATATTAAATCAACTAGCTAAAGTATTTAGCGAGTGTTGTTAAATTTTTCAGGAGGATGGAGTACTCTCTAAAGTTAGATATTTAATCAAAATTCTTCAGAAATAATCAGAAGCAGCAATTAATGTATTGAAATATTATATAATTATAGATCAATAACTAAACATTACATTTATTATAAATATGTTAGTAATGTAGTATATTATATCATATTATAATCATACCTGTAGGCTACAGTAAAGGTTTTGTATTGCACGTAAACAGTTGAAGGCAAAGGCTAAATCAGTATCAAATTCAACATTATCATTATCAGTCAAAATGGATGAGACCATTTTAACTGCAATAGTAGTAGTCATATACATGTCAACCAAAACCCATTCTCCATCTTTTGAAGTCATATCTAATAGCTGTGTCCCTGCATCTAAATATACAAATTATTGTTAATAATTCCCTATACATTTTTTTTTAAAGATAAACTTACTTGATGTAGAAGTCTCCATCATTAAAAACTTTTTGTTTATTGCACATAAACCAGTAGCAATAACAAATTCTAGGCCTTCATTTGAGTTTTCATTTATTTTAATGATAGAATTTTCATCATTTAACAATGAACAAGTTATTTCATTTTCTGTGTCAATTATTCTTATTCGTTCTACAATTTTAGCAGTTCTATGACTTGCTTCTAGAGCAGCTTGCTGTAATTGCATGTTATATGCTACTGTTTGCGGTGTTGGGGGTTCAGCATTAGGAACACCTAAATATAGCATTTTATGTTCTTCTTTTATTTGATCACACATTGATGTTGTTGGACAATCCATTAGCAATTGTAACCATTGTCTATAATATGTTAGCCGATGATTACGAACATGCGATTTTGGAAACAGATTCAACAAACATTGTACATCGTAAAGCAATCTTAAACACAACGTGAGCAATTTGCTTCTTTGGTGGCATAAAAGTGTTAAATCGTCATTTGATTGTATACACTGTAAAAACAAATATAATTACAAATTTTATACATAAAAAAAAAAATAAATTAATGTTAATATCAAATATTACTTGTTCAATTAAAATAGGTTGGCCAGCATTTTGTAAAAACTCTTTCACATCGTCAAATAAAAGGTTGTTAAATAATTGAATTGACCTTGACTCTTCTTGATCAATTAATATACGAATTTGCCTACTTCCAAGAAAATGTACAGCCATATCATACTGTGACAACCGTGAATCACAGTCTTCAACTTTTTGTCTTAGTGACATTGTAGCGCCAATCATCATATTCTGGGTTTGTTGTAATGCAAAGTATCGTTCTGGCAATTTATACAGTGGATGTTGACCAGCTGGTGATGCTTCAGCTTCTTTAACCAATGCCATGAGCTGATGACTTTCGGCTAAACCCTCTTCCATCTTTTGTAGCTTTTCTCTTTCCATCAAAAATTTCTTTAAACTTTCCATAATATTGGTCATTGATTCCAACATATTATCCCTAAAAGAATTTAGTCTTTGTTAATTTTTTTTTTTTTAGATTCTGAAATCTGAGCTATAGATGTGTATTGGTAATTGGTCTTACAATGATGTATGTATTTTAATTATTTATTTTTTGAGTGAAAAAACTTTTTACAGAACAAAAATGATCTAATCCTAAATTTTCAGGCAAGTTTTTGATAGACAATTGGGCCTAGTTTGTATTTGTATGACTTTTCAAAATAATGAGAAAATTAAAAAAATTTAAGATTACAAAAAAAAAAAGAAATATTTACGCATAACTAGTTTTTAACAAAATTGATTTTGTTATATTGTCGTAATTTAAAAATATATATCAGTAGACATACTAAAATTTAAAAACTATTTTGCTTTTTTTGAGATATTTATAGACATTAAGAATCACAAATAAGTTTTTTTTTAGTTTTTATTAGACTTAAGTATGAAAAAATTTTAGTTTGCAAGTAAATTTGATTGAAATTTTAATACAAGGTCCTTTAGAAGTTTTTCTTCCTGCCATATTTTTTTTTAAGAATATTTTAATTAATATTTTGATGAATTTCTTCAAAATTGCAAATTATTTGGTAGACATATAGGCTGAGAAAATATCTACACTCAGATTCGTTTTCATTGTAAAGTGTAAACAAGATCAACCCATCCATTACTGTGACCTATAATGCTAGGTTAGGTTCTGCTTTACAGAAAATCGATTTTTGATTATTTATATTTGTACAATAATTACCTATTACTTAACCAATCAAATTTGGCTTCTGTAATGCGCACATTAAGCATAGCCAATGTAATTTCTTTTTCTAGCTGTCGTCTGTTTAATCGATTTTCCATTACAATTGATCGACCTCCACCATATACAGCACCTGTGTATCCAGTTTCATTACCAGGGGTCCAGTCAATAAGAGGATCATAAACAAATGCTTCTAACAATGTTAATAAAGTTTCTTTGTTTTTTCTCAATACTTTCATCACTTGTTCGCATGTTAAACGGAATTTACCCTGATTAAAAAATTTTTTTGTGTTAATTAAAAAATGTATTAATAGTTTATGAATAATAGATTACCTCAATCCCTGTAACTCCGAGAGCTTCTTTTAAGTTTGGAGTTAACCTAAAAGGAACTTTTTCTGGCACACGTAATGTTTTACCTTTCTCAAAACATACATTATAGTCAATGTGTACTACCTGCAAATACCATAGTTAGTCAATTAAATATTTATTATGGGATAAAGAAATAGTAATTTAAGACAGGTTAAGACTCTTTTGATTTCATCAAAACATAGAATGTAAAGTATTGGAAAATGAAAATTATATTTTATTAATTTGTAAGTATTACATAAAAATAACACGTAATTCAATTTATTGTTAATCATGTTATAGGTCCCCTCAAGGTTGTTTACTAAGTATTTTATTTTTCAGGTATCTTTAAATTATACTATGTTAAAGTTATTTAAAACACATAACTCATAATATTTTTTAATTAGAAATAGTTAAAATTATTAAACTTTATGAATAAATAAATAAAGTAAAATTTGGTTTGAATGGGAGTAGCAATTATGTAAACAGTTAAAAAATTTTCTGTAAATCATGTGCGAGTGTTGATCTGATTCAATATAGGGTTAAAACATGACATTCTTTTTTAAAGTAACTATTTACTATTTAGTAAACTTGTGCATTACAGGATCACAAAACAATATAATTTATTTATTATTTTAATTAAGATACTTAAAAAAAGATCCATCACAATTAAACTGAAACTTAAACTAAGAACAAAAAAAAAGGGGGGAGGAGTGGCCGAGTGGACTAAGAAGTCACTAGTTCGATATCTCGGCCGCGGTTGGCATTTTTCTTCGGGCAAGTTAAGGTGTCCGGGGAACAAGTCCCGCCATCCCCCACCCGGGATATGGCAGAAACTTACGGGAGGCCTATTAGAAATTCTGCCAAAACACAACACACAAGTGTACCAACCTACCCAACCTAAAACACCACACCCAATGACCTATGTTGCTGCGGGTTATCGAATTAAAAAAAAAAAAAACAATACGAACCTCTCCAGTTTGTAAATTAACAAGTACATTATCTAAATGTCTATCACCCAAGCCTATAATGTAACCAATTACAGACATAACAGCCAACGATGTTGCGTATAATGATGTAGATTGCCACCAAGAACCAGAATCAACACTTTGTGTCCATAGTTCACTAAAAGAAAAAATAAATAGATTATACATACATAATTAAACTATAAATACTTAGAGGCTAGGAAAAAAAAATTCTATCATTAATAGGCTACTAATCCAAAACCTTGTTTTATTTTTAGAATAGAAATGAAAAGTGTAATACAAACAATATACCTAATACAATATTTTTATTTACACTTGCATATTGTAAGTGTCCCGTCCAAGGAAAAAGTAAAAATTACAGATTGAAAAAAAAAATAGTAATACTTGTTTTACTCGTTTATATTACATAAATTTCAATTTTTTTGTTATATTTCAGAGGTGAACACACATGAAAAAAAAATTAAGACTCTAATTAACAGATAAGAATTTTATAGTTTATATATTGTTTGACACTAGCAGTCATTAAAAATTATTCAAACAGTAGATTTGGGGGATAAAAATACCTCACCAGAGTAATATTGTAATATACCGTATAATGTGTGTTTGTTAAAATACAGTGTCTCGTGCATAGACCTTATACACTAATATAAGGTCTATGGGCTCGTGAGAAGTTGCCCATTAAGATATCTCCTGAGATAATACATTTATCATAAATGTGTTTTTTTTTTTTTAATAGACTTACAGAGACAAGGACTACATATAATTTATTTTTTATTTAATTATATTTTTGGGTAGAAAAGTTGAAAAATGTAATTTTTAAATTTTAAAACAATTTAAGATAGCCATTTAATTTTCCGAAAATTTTGACGTTTCAACATTTTGTTTGCATTAACTTCATGATTTTTAATACATTTTTTAGTTTATAGGGAAAACAGGAAAAAAACGGTTTTTGTCTGGGTGGCGAGTCCCCCACTAAGGCTCCCATTAGCCTAATGGGTATATCCTCACGAGAATCCCTGTATTTTATAAAGCTTATATTTCCTATAAAATATATTTTATATTTATACTAGTTATACATACTTTGAAAGCAAATTTTTTGGCGTTTCATTCATCAAAGTTACTAACACATCCTTTAGAATACTTAATGGCCATTCTTTTCTATTTTCCATATTGACAATTCCTTTTTCTTTCAATAATGGTGTTAATTTGGAGTTAAATAATTCTGAGGGACGCATATTCACACCTATGATAAAATGAATACATAAAATCGTAAATTCGACTACAAGAGATTTTAATTATTATTTATTACCATCATTGTTAGAAGCCTGTCTTTGTTGCCATCTCTTATACAACATAAATATAGGTACAACACCATCTACCCAAGATATTAAACCAGATCTTGGTCCCAGTGGTATTACTGGATAATGGTGAGCTCTATAATGATCAGAAGACCCACTAAGCAATGTATTAGTAATACATAAAAGTTGCATTATTCGTTCATCTAAGTGTAGATCTTCTAAACCTTTAAACAAGTATGTATAAACTTTGCCATCAGATCCATAGAATATTAATTTCTTTGGTTTAGTAAATGTAGGTAAAATTGCCACATTATTATGAATGGAAGCAACTGTAACAACTCGTTCAACGCCTGGCATAGCAATTTTTGTATCTTTAAGATTGGCAAGGACAGGACTAATTGTTTCCATTTTCAAAGAATATGAACCTCTTTTGCTTATGCGAGATTGTAGATTGCTCTGCAAATTTTTTATAGACTTCCATACTTCTTGTACATTTATGTTAACTGAATCTGTAGGTCTTCGTAATTTATCTAACATATGAGTAATATATGACCCTAAAAATATAAATATTTTCAAATTAATAATTATTATTATTACATATAATTTGTAGTAAATTACCGAATTTATCTTGAAACCATTCTTCGTGAGGGGTTTCAGCTTTAACAGAAGTAATTGCATGTAATTGTTCAAATATAAAAAGAATCTATAAAAATGTTTATTGTTTAATAAAATTGTTAAAAATTACAAAAATGATAAAATAAAATATATTACTGGTTTAAGTAACATAGTGTATTTTTCAACAGAAATGTGTTCTTTTTCTAGATCTGTAAGATGTGGATGATTTTCAGTTTTGTTTAGCTCAGCCTCTAGTTGACTAATACGCCTACTTATATCGGTTTGACGTTGCACTAATGTTCCTAACCATAATTCATCCCACAATAATGTAATTCTCCTCAATTCAGACACTAAAACCCGTACTTCAGAAATCATTTCACCGGCCTAAATATAAAATTAAATGTTTATTTTTAAAGTAACTGGTTAAAATCAAATTTTTGTTGTAGGACGTAGGTACACAATTTAAAAAAGTATTGATACATTAAATGTATATTGTTTGTAGTAAAATATTTATTCATTATTTTAAATACCTGTTTTGATAGTGTATTGACCATTGAATGGAAACAGTCTTCCAACACCATAGCCTGTTCATCTTGTCCAATTTTTAAATCCTCATCGTCTTCTTCATTACTATCAAATTCTTCATGTACTGAATTTGTTTCATCTCCAACCTCTTTACTAGATTTTAACAAACTTGAAGAAGGTATTTCATTTATAGTACTGAGACCGGTATCAGATCCAACAACTGCAGGGAACGTAATCAAATGGGGCACATCAATTGCTAAACGACAAAGTAATTCAGACACGGTACGTCTGACATAAGGTTCAGGGTGGGAAAGTCTTGAAAATAGTTGAGGTATAATCGAACGCCATGGCTGTGTTGGTGTATTGCTTAGGCCTTCTTCTAATGAACCTTGAAGTTCAAGAGCATGTTTAACAGTAAGACGTAATAATCTCAATGTTGCTGCAATAGACTCCTCCTAAATAATATTAAAATAGTTATTAAGAATTACCAATCATTTTATATATTTATACTATAATTTCTTCAGTAAAATACCAATAAATGTCATAAATTTAATAAAAATAACATGATATTTTAAAGGTAAATCACATATCTTGAAATCAACTGAATTAATTTCACGAGTTTAAATATCAGTAACTGTTTCAACATATATTACATTTTTTTAAAAACTTTAAGTTAAAATAATAGTTGTATAAAAATGTAGGTTATGCCTTATAGTATATTTCAGAAGTTTTCTAACTTTTATTAACCATGGCACAGTGCTAATCAAAAAATGTTCATGGCACATTGAAATTTTTTTCTAAATTAGATGAACAAAATTGTTTTAAATTATAATAATATACATTTAATTAGAAATGTGTGCTTGATGGGCTAACAAATTGTATTAGTTATATTTTTATAATTTTATTCTTGAATGAATAGTTGAAATTATTCAGAATTTTATTATTCCAGTTTGAAGACCTCTGGTATATTTAATTATAAATGTTATATTTATTTACCTGATGATTGTTACATAACTGTAAGTATTTAAAATAAGCTTGAGCAGATAATTGATAATATCCATAAATCCTCGAATGAGATTTTCTCCACCAATCAATTAATCCAGAAAGCTCTATATCTTCAAAGTGTAAAACATTCTGTAATTGATATTCCAGTGTTTCAGTAGTATAAATATGTTCACTCTGAAAATAAAATTATTACAATACATTAACTGAGTAAAAAAGTATAACAAAGATCAAAAAATTTTTTAAGAAGTTGATAAAAAATAAATATTATTTAACTTAAAACTTGATTAATATGTACATCTGTATAAACGGTGAGTTTACACTAGTTATTATAATCATTGAAATTACACTGAATTTTAAAAACCACTTTTTAGTTATTTTTATTTTAAACCAAAAATATTAAATCTAAAAAAAGTTTTTAACCATAGAAGTACATAAAATATATCATACGCCAATATCATCATCATCTTGCGGCGAAGATGTAACTACATTAAGAATGCTATATATTTTGTCTCGATCCTCTCGTGTAGCGTTGAAAGGAATATAAGCATCTATAGTAGCCATCTCTGTATCATTCAACAGATATGTATTTCGTTTATACGCTTCATCCACTACTCTACGGCCTAATCTATAACACCAGCCTGCTAATTCATTCCATGCTTTAGCCATTGACGGACAATATGATACTGAAATTCTTAAAAGCTGACCAATCATCAAAGTTTGTTCATCCAAATCACTTGAAGGCGTATAATCAGATTCTGTACAATAAATACAATTACAAAAATTAACATTATTTAAATATAAAATATAAATAAATATATACTTATGACTTCACGAATTAACTGGCTAGTTTTTGATAAATTTTCATTTGAAAAATTCAATAGGATATCAGATTTTTCAATAGATGACTTAATAAGTGTTTTGTCAGGAATATTATTTCCACAATTTAACCATTTTCCTAATGTAATTAACATTCGAGAACTATCTTCTTTAAGATCATTGTCATTCTTGAATTGTGCTTGTTCCAATAACTTAAATGCCGATTTCATGCACATTTCTATCCCCAGTTCTTGTGACACACAACTAAAAACAAAAATAATAATCCAGTACATTTTTATTTTTAAGCATTTAATTTATTTGTATTACTGATGGACAAGTTTAGAGAACTGCCTCACTACTAAAGCATGATTATTTGGCCATAGTGATGAATTTGTATCATCCACAAGAAGTTCTCCAATTTGTTGTAGCATACATGAAATAGATTCAGATTTGTTTCCCATAGAGGGTAGATTTATAAAATCATATGCTCTATTTGATCGTAAGTATTGAAGCATTCCCCGTGTAGCAAGGTTTACATTGCCTTCTTTGCGGGCTACATGAGCCAACTGAAAATCAAATGATAAAATATTTTAAGGTTTAATTTGATTAATTTTAATTTAAATAATTTGATTATTACCTTTAAATATAATATTGATGTGTCAGATTTTGGTTTATTTATTTGTTGAATATTGTGTTCATAATCTGACATTTGATTTTCTAGAAGTTTACTCCACAACAATGACTGACATAGTAAATTAGATCTTACTGATTTATTACTTATATCATTAACCTGTATAGTAAGACAAAACAATTTATAAAATAACAAGTTAAAAACATTTTATTCTAATTAAAAACATACCAAATTAAATAGTATAGGGCTGTTTTCTAAGAGTGAGTTTATTGCATAAGATAGGACAGATACTTCTTGTGTATACTCCAAAAGACTGTCTGTTAAACTTTCTTGTAGAAGATTCTGTACTACTTCTCGACAGTCTTCAACAATTAATTTGTTTTCACTAAAATAAAATATCCAAAATGTTTTTACCAATAAAATATTTACATAAAAATATATTTTTATGTTACATACGTATCTAATTTTCCTTTAGAAATATTCATTTTCAATACAACATACATCAGCCGACTTTTAATTTGATTTATAAGATCATAGCAATTCCAGTTTGTTTTTACTATTTTAGCATTTTCATCAATAGACCAATTAACTAAATCATCAATGCAACTGTAATTTCCTTCTTCGACATCATTAACAATTTGCAAATTATTAGCAGAGACATATCTCTAAATAAAAAATAGTAAAATATTATTTATTACAAGAATTATTTTTTTAATAAGCACCACATCCTTACATTTTGCCAAAAATATTTATCTTTTGCAATTGATGGTATAAGATTTTCTTCGTTTTGTGACCAATCCATTAATGGTTTCCAGTCACAAATTGACATATAACATTCTTTTAACTGAAAACAACAAGTGTTAATACTCAATATTTTATTAGTTAAGTAGAGAAATACATTAGTATTGGTTTGTATCTTCTCTTGTTTTGAAAATATATAAATTTAATTTAAAAATAATTGTATTATATACTTGTTCAATGATGAATTTTTGTAAAACTTCTAAAGGGCCTTCAAAATTATTAATTGAACCTCCTCCACCTTTAAGGTATATTATTATTTGATCTGAGCTTGTAGTAAGCAAATTCATATATGACTCGGCTGCTTCTTCAAATCTTTAAAATTATTAATATTTAAGTAAAACAATTAATTAAGCAGAAATTGTTTCCCAACTTACTTTCCACTAGCCTGATCAGCAAGTATATTCAAAAATGGAAGTTTCATGTGTGCAACTTCTTTAGACCACACATAAAGCCCACGAATGCAATCTGATTCTTTAAGTTTACAATAAGCCCAAGCTAATTGAATTATAGCTAAAATAAACTCTTTAACTGGAAATTCGCTCTGTTTTGTTAAATGATGAACTAAATATTGACCATGACGAATAGCTGAAGAGCTAAGACCAGAATTTAAGGATACAGCAAGCATTGCACTGCGTATTGTTGAATTCCATTCATAACAAGTATTACGATTTGTATGAAAAAAATGTCTAACCGGCTAAAAAAAATATAAAAAAATGTATGCAATAAATTGGTATATTTTATTTATTGGCCAAAAAATTTTAACTTGTAACTAATATCACAACATTTGTGACAAAAATTGTCTTAAGGAAAAAAAACACACATTATTGTAAACAAATAAATACAATCACTGCTCCTTTCAGAATATAAAATGTATTTGCTTAGTTTTAACAACTAAGGCTGGATTTGAACCCATCACTATTTAGTATTCTTTTAATAAAAAATATAAATAATTGATAAATAATTATGAAAAATCAAGATTTTAATATGTGTTCAATGTTCAATAATTTAAGTGTAAGATGTAGATTTGTGATTAAATGATTAAAAAAATAATAATAATAAAATTATTTATAAGATTATTAAATCTCAGCAAAAGTGTCACTAAGGGGTGGCTTCTAGCTCCAAATATGCATGCAAATTTAATTACTTAATTATTAAACATATTGTACTAAAAACTACAGATTGTGTAATATATTAATGTAAAAAAAAAAGATGTAGGTTAAACACTATTTATTTAAAGAAGAAATTCAAGTTTAAAGAAATTAAAATAAAACTGCTAGTTCTATCTAAATTTTTAAACACTTACTTTTTGTGCAATTGGTAGAGCAGTTGCAGTACCATCAATAGCATTGCAAACAGATTTCTCTAAACATTCTATGAATGCCACTAAATTTCTAGTATATCTAAGATTATTTAATTTGCCTTCTGTGTGTTTAACTTTTGTATCATCATTTAATGCTGATATTGAATCTCGTGCCCACATTTTAATTCCACCTACAAAAATATATTTGTATTATTGGTGAAATAAATGAAAATACTTAAAATGAATTATTTGATATAATACCTTCAATGGCTCTAAAAGTAGAATTTGGCTTTCCAAATGGAGTACGAAGACGATTTATAACACAAAAATTAGCTGCTTCCCAGTTAATCCAAAAATATAATAAAACACGACAGTGTTGAGCATGAGATAAAAGTTCAGTCTCGCCACTATCAATGTCAAAAGAACAACTGTTTACTACATCTAATAACCAATGGGTGGTAGAATCACTAAAAAAATACAAACAAATCATTTTTTAATAAAACATCCCCAAACAAAAAATGTATTATTTATTTACTTATTATTGCTGTTAGGTTCAATCATTTCACACACATAATTTTTGAAATACTCAGTTTTTAATGTAACAACAGCTTTTCTTCTCATATGGGAACTCATCATTTGATTGATTTTCTTATTAAATTTGCTTTTGTTTTTCTATTTATGCAAAAATATAAAGTACAGAAAATTAAGTAAATTTTTTTGTATAAAATAAAACCATATTATTTACAACCATATTCAATTATACATGGTATATAATTTGATAAATTTTACATTAAATAAGACACAAGCTAAACATGTTTTTTTTATCATTTCTAGTATAATACTTACCAGCGAACAGATTGATACATTGTGTAAAACAGTAATCAGGGATATTTTATGAATTAAGGCATAGAATTGTTTGCTAATAGCATGTTCAGTAAGATTGATACATGAAAGACATAAGTCTAAAATGTCAACAACTATAAATGGCTGCAATCAAAACAATACAATTAAAAATAAACATATTTGAATATATAAATTTAAATTACCTTCGACTGGCAGAATGTAGGGTTTCCCAGAACAATATTTAATATTTGCGCTATGCCGTCAAATAATGAAATTTCATTACGCTTTAATGCTACATATATTAAAGAACGCACAATATTAATCATTTCTGGTGAAAGTAAAATTATATTCAAGTAACTAGCACTATCAGCATGCATCAGTAATTCATATATCCATTTCAAAACCAATAGCTTACAATCCACATTTACATTCTAAAAATTATAATTTATTTTATTAAGTAAATATGCATTAATGCCTTGTGTAGGATATTCCTATATAATAAAATAAAAAATACCATTTTCAAATATTTTTCAAAGATATTTAAGATTTTCACAAGGTTTCCACTCTTATGAGAATTAATTTCTACATTTTGCTGAGACTTTTCACTTGTTCTTCCAGCTGTCACTAATCGGCTACTTGCAACAAAATTGTTATGCCTAAAAAAATTGGAAGTAGCATTAAATAATCACATAAAATAAATTAGAATTGAACTGTAAAATAATAAAATAACCTTGTTTGTTAATAATGTATGGTTAAATAGAAACTAGATTCAATTTTTAAAAATCAAATACATAATTTTATTAATTTAAGTTTAAAAAAGTTCTTACTTTTTACAATGAGAATATAACAAGAACATTAATGAAAAACGCAGAGGGTCGTTCATTTTGATAATAGTTGGATCTAACTTTGTAGATAATAGTTCAAAAATACTTGGTTGTAGTGCCCACATACCAATAATAGAATTACTGTCATTGGCTATTTTGGGGAAAGAAAATAAATTAACTTTATTACAAAATACAAATATTAAATTAATTTTAAATTATATATTACAATATATAAATTGTACCTATAACTGTTAGACTTTTTAAAACTATATGAACAACAATGGAAGCTTCTTCAAGGGTATATTCAATGTCTTTAAATGGATTATCAACACAAAATGATGGCAGATTAGGGTCTAATGTTTGGCAAGCTTTTTCCAAATCTCCTGTGATATACCTACAAAAAATATAATGTTATTTTTAAGATTCAAATTATATTATTTGGCAATAAATTTAAAAAAAATTATAACAATATTATCCTTATTATAAAACAAAATACCTGTAAACTATGAGCACCAGAGAAACATTTTTCATACTTAATAAACTTTGGTATAGTGCTATATTTGAATCATGTAATTTCACAGATGGTAAAAATCTCAATTGACGTAAGTGTGAATCACCACATAACAACATCTCAACAAATTCTTTAGATAGATTTGTACTTCCTTCTCGTATAACCTAATACATTTAAAATAAATATAATTTTTTTATTGGCATTTGTTCAATTTTAACCATTTATAATTAATGACAAACCTTTGAAATCACTCTGAATATTGAAACAATAACAGTTAACTTGAACTCATCAATATGTAGCATTTCTTTTTCAATGACTTTTATCATTAAGTCATTAATTGAAGGCATTTGTGATTGAAGAATATCCAGAATCAACCAAATACAGTTATTAGCTATAAAATATTTAGAAATTAATGAAAATAAAAATAAGAATAGGTATTAGTTTTTTACCAGCTTCAATAATATTTTCATCAACAGTTACATCTACACATTTAAGCAGAGTCTTTATTATAGTCATTAGTGCATTACTTAAAAAAGGCCAGGACACAACAGATGAACTTTTAGGACTTAAATGTTTTCCAACACTTTCAGCCACAATACTAAATACTCTAAACATAAACAAATGTAAAAATACATATACATATATTAATAATGTATGTTTTAATAAATGGAAATAGTACCTTATAAATGCTAAAATTTTATCTAAATCTTCACTTAGTTTTTTTGTTTTGTTATTATCCTCAAAACTGTCAGATATTGAAGACATATCTTCTAATAATTGTTCAAGTAAGCCAAGAGTGAAGCTCATGTCAGCAGTCCAATAAGTTGATAAACGAAAAATGCATTGTGATATACGTTTATTTGTTTCTGTAGACTGAGAAGTATCAATGTGCCAACCAACTAATATGTCCACTGTGTCCTGTGAACATCAACAATACAAATAATAATTATAATTATAAATAAATATATTTATTATAATTAAGTATAATTATTCTTGGTAATATATACACAAATACTAACCTTAAAGTAAGGTTCGAAAGCTCGGCAGTACACACGGGAAAAGTTTATAGCAACATCAGCAGTGACTGTAATTAATTCAGGTGAATCAATTGATTCTAAAGTCAAGTACATGTTCTCCAGTATAAGCTCAAAAACGAAAAAAAAAACGTATGCAAGTTAGTTGAAAAGCAAAATATTTAGATGAGGTAAGTAACATAAAATCAAATAAAAGGTTGGCTTAATTAATGAACCTAAATTATTAATTATAATAAAAATAACAAAAATGGAAATTATTTTAGATAAAACGGATAACACAACAATCACTTATGTAAAAATAGAAATAATGAATTTAAAAAATGTATGTTCGTGAGTAGTTTTTATTGTTAAATTACAGTATTATAAAAATAATACATTACAATTGTTGGACAAAAAACAGTAATCACTTATTATGTACCTAGGTCATTTATAATATGAAATGAATAGTCATTAGTTATTACACACTTTATAAATTAAAAATTACAAGTGGTTGAATTATTTAAAACTAAAAAACATCCTACTGGTGACTTATAAAAGTATATTTGTTTATTAGCATTTCCTTCAGAAGTAAATGTATTATAGATTATGTTTAAAATGAATTCATTAATATTTTGTATTAGCACTAACCTATAATTCTGCCGTCATAAGCCACTAAGCAGTAACTCCGAAATTGTAGTTTTATGGAAACAATTAAACAGTATTGGGACATAGTGCTAATTTGCCTATTATCTTATTTTCTTATCAATTAATATGTATTTTTAATGAGAAAACCCTTAAATTTTATTAAGGGAATCGATAGAGGATTAAAATATCTATTGATAGATACCAAAAATTCGATTTTGACAAAAATGGAGTTACTGCTTAGTGGCTTATTACGGCAGAATTGTATTTATATAATGTATAGTATAATATTTTACACTTCAGCCTAAAATTCTACAAAAATATTGAACCTTTATACTTTATTGCTTAACAGTGAAAACCATTAAAAGTTAAGAGTAAATATCTAACTAGGAATATTTTAAATATGAATAAAAGCAATACTTGATAGATTCTGATTAATGCAAATAAATGTATTGGATATACATAGTACATACAATAATATTTTTTATATAGTAAACAATATGCTTTGACCTTCAACTTCAAGTGTTTTTAGGTAGAAAATTATAATATTATACATATATGTTAAAAAATAATAATAATGAAGTCAAAAACAAAAAAAATCCCTGTACTATTCATAATAATCAGGAAATTCTAAGTTATTTAAAAAAAAAAAAAACAGAATATTTACATTTGTTTTCATAAAAATCAAGTTGTTATTTTGTTGTAAAATTTAATACTAGGTTTCTCATAATTTATTTTTACTGGAATTTAAAAAAAAAGATTAGCATGGTCACATTAATTTATTATGATTGTTTAAAATTTAAAGTTGTACAATATTGGAACAAAGGTATTTTAAAAAAATTGTTTCTTACATCAAAAAGGTTGGAAATTTCAAAAGTTTGCTTATGGCAGTTTAATAATAAATTTGAATATTTTTGGATTCTATGCAATGAATTAATTTAACAACAAAGTGCATGTTTTTTAGAGTCAAAACTATGAAGACACCTAATCCATGAGAAAAATGCTCTGATCATAAACTTTAATGTAGGAAAATGGATCTAGTTGGTTATTTTCCAAAATTTTAAATTATTTCATCACAAAAAATGATTTATTATTGAATTCAATTTTAATAAATCCATTACAGTGCCTACTCAATGACAAAATACACTTGACTTTTACCATACAGAGCGGTTTAAAGTTCAAAATTTGTCAAAATCATGATAATTTTCAAATTATTTTGTAGTAAAAAAGTAATAACATTTTCAATTTTTAGAGATAAAGCTTGGAACTTTAATGCAAGGTTCTCTATAAGATTTTCTTATGGCAATACATTTTATTTTAAAAATACATAAATATAATTTTTCTTTTACAGACATTTGAAGTTCAAATTTTGCTGAAATTAGATATTTAAATGAAATATAACAATATTAGTCTGTGTTAGGATTGAAAATTATTATTTGCTATACACAATTCGGTTTTTAAAATATTTAAAAAATAGTTTTAAGCTTTTTATATTATAAATCTTTTATTAATTATTATATAAAAATATACGTAAATTGGTTTTAGAATAAATTAGTTCAACCTAATATATTAGTAACAGCAATATGTACAATAATAAATTCCTTGAAATATTGGCAAGCAGACAATTTCTCCTCAGAATTTTTATTTATTGTATATAATGATTTATCATTGAAATAAAATTTAACATATTCATTACAGTAGCCACTCAATAATGGGGTACAATTGACACCTACTATATAACTGGTTTTCAGTGCCGGCACTAGGTATTGCGGGGCCCTGGACAGTGGACATATGTAATAGGTACCCAGAGGAGGGCAAAATCCTAGCTTTTTTTAAATCTTTTTTTTTAAAAAAATGCTGTTTTTATTTGAATTTTAAATATTAAAAATAATAATTTTAGGTTAATCTTATACCTTTTTTTTATTATAAATTATTTACAAATAATAATATAATACATAAGTGTTGAAAATTATAAATTTAGTTAATTAGTAAATTCGTAGGGGCTTATTATTTTGTTAATTTATATTAATTTAAATAATTACAACTTATAAAACCATGAATAAAAATAAATAAATTCATCAAAATGTTTGAATGAAATAATAACTTGTTTAATATCTAAGTACGCGGTGGTGGTAGACAATACATAAAATACATTAAAACTAATTCTGATACACTAGATATGCACGCATGGGTACATATTATTTAACACGGCTATACTAAATTGTAATAACTTACTTTGATGAAATTATGCAGAAATCGTTGAAAAAAAACTGTAAGGTGCAAAGCGGATTGCAGTCAAATACTCAAATGTCGAACATATAATATTAGATAATCAAATATTTTAATATTATATATAATATTTAAAGAATATAGCTCTTGCCCCTTCTATAATACGGGCATACAGCAATACACAGAAAGCCTTTCCAAACAAAGAACAGAGAAAACAATGACTATAGTGATAACAATTATTTATATTATTAATTTTACGGTAGTATACTCCTACAATCCTACTCGGCGAGTATCGTCAAAATATTACTCCTACGTAGTATCGATAACGATTTACTTTGTATTATGGCTAAATTTAGATATTGTTTTCCTAAATAACTGATGATAGGAATAATATAATACATGTGTAGTAAGTATAGAATAATACATTTATAGATTTATAATTTTTTAATGTAAAATATCAATGTGTTTCTCAGTATTAAGATAATCATTAAAAATCTCGGGATTATGTCCCATTTGTCCTACCCTAGCACCAGCACTGCTGGTTTTGAATAAATTTAAAACCAAAGGTAACCCTACTTAAGACCATACATTTTTAACATAAAATATTACAATAAATATTTATACAAATTTAGGTATATTGGTATAAATATAATTTATTTAATAAGCGTAAAATATTGTTAAAATATGTTATTGGTATTAATGTAATATTTTAATATATTAATAACCAGGGCTTGGAATTTCAAGTATTTGCATAATTCTTAGGAAGCTGCATATTCAAAATCTGATTTGGTACAAATTTGTTTCATATTACATAATATAGTACAAATATGTATGTAGACTACTTTCGCATACTAAAAATGTTTAGCGTATTAATTTTTTTTTTTAATTAATTATTAATGTACATTATGTTATAATTTAATATAAATCAAAAACAAACAAATTGTCAAAACTATACTGAGTATTAATTGTAATTTTTGGATGAAAAGCATGGTGTTTTTTTCAATAAGAAATGATTTATTTTTACTAAGAGCTCATAGCCTTTAGGTTTATTCCCATATAATAATTATTACAAGTTCGTAAAATAATTATATATTTGCAATTTTTTAGTGCATAAAGTTCCAAGCCCTGTTAATAACCAATAATTGGATGCCTAACTTTGTTGATAATATCTAAATACTAATCAAAATTAAATACACAAATAAAATACATACCGATGCCAAACTTTCCAAATAAGACCGTTTCTGATCAACCATTGATAACTTCAAACAAACATTTCAATTAGATTATAATCAAATAAATTAATAAATAATATTTTTTTCAACTCACCTCATAGAAGGCCAGCATTATCAAAGTTTTAACTTCTTTACTACGTTCTGAATTATACTTAATAAACATCAAATCAATAAACCTTAAATAATATAATGAAGTTAGTAAACAATATTTTGGTATTTTCAAATAATATTTCTTATACCTTTTACAATCATATTGTAAAGCATGTCCAAATTTTCCTAAACATTTAGCAACAGTGCACTTGCCATTATATGAAATTGTAGTTGAATGAAAACATACATAAAGGTGTTCAACTATGTTATCAATAGATCGTCTAATATATTTTTTATTCTCAGGCAGAACAAAAACTTCCTATAAAAACAAACAATTAAAATAACAATAATAAATATAAAATAATTATAAAGTATAATTAATCTATCTAGCATAAAATAAATACTTGAAGTTGATTGCATAATGTTATAAGTGTTCTGGTATCTTCCTCATTTAATATTTTCCTAATAATCTTTGAAATTTTTGAATCCTCGGATGGCCCATTGTTACTAAAAGACTCTAAAATTGTGTAATATACATAATAAAAAAAAGGTAATTAATTTTTTTTCAAATTTATAAGTATAAAAATATCAATAATAAATAACAAGAAAATAAAAACCAATATAGGTTTAGCTGCTAACAATAATTTGAATACCAATAGAAATAAAATAAATAAATATAAGCATCTACATTTTTAGTTCTTTTTTAGTATGTATGATAATAATTGTTTACTACTGATAAATGTATTTAAAATAACATTATATACTTAAGAATGAGCATTTCAAGCCTTCATTTGATTAAATTTTTTTTTTCTTATGTCATGATAAAATAACTGTGGCCCTCCAATATACCTGGGGGACATGGCCTAAATACAACACTGGCAATATGTTAGTTTTGAATATTTTGGGAAATTCATAATTACATATAAATAAAAAAAATATTTCAATTCCAAACAGTAACTCAATAAATTTGCCAATAAACGTATATTTATTTTACAATGTGTGTACAAATTTCATATTTCATACAAAAATACTAAACAAAATAATCCGTCATCTTATTTTGTTTCTTCGAAGCTCGAGCTCTTTGAGCAGTAATGTTCCATATTTTACGGAAGTAAAAGGGGTAAAAGAGAAGTTGTTTTTTTTTATGATGGCGAAAACAGAAAGTTAATCGAGTTTTTACTGCACCTATTTAAATGTTCAAGTATACGAAGAATAAATAAAGTAATTAGTGGATAAGTGTTAATATTATATACCTATTTCACTATAAGGTGACAAAATTAATAAAATATATTAGTTAACTGTACAAAGTCATACCTACATAGGTAAATGAAGTATGAATGAAAGCTACTTTGCTTATTATGTTTTATTTAAACAAAACATAGAAATAATAATACTAATTTATCTAGATATGTGATCAATGATCAACAAGTTAATTGATTTAACTGCCAGTATTGTAATACATAAATATGGACTATTTCAGGTAGCTAGGTAAATATAAATATATCAAATGGTATAAATATTTTAATATAAATATTAAAACTAGTTAAATTCAAAAGGTATAATATGAAGTGATAATTTTTCATCTTATCACTACGTTAATAAAAACAATTTAAGAATAATACATGATCTGAATTGTGGTTGTACTATAATAATAATCTATAAATTATCAATTAATTTCAACCTCAACAAAGTTAATAGGTTACAACAGTTATTAATTTCTTACCATTACGATAATTGGAATAATACATGGATCTGGAGTCAAATGATTCATCCCGTCTTTTAGGAATGTCATCACAATATTTACGTGAAGTAAATCCTTGGTCACCACTATAAGATCTGTTCTTTACTAAAACTCTGTTGCTTCTGTAATATGATCCGGTAGTCTTGTTACGATAATCATCTTTGTTGAAGGTGCCATTCTTCGTATAATGATCGACAGAAGCTACATCGTTATCCAACTTGTTTGAACTGGATTCTAGTCGTTTATCAATGGAACCATTGACAGCTACCTTATCCGCATCTGATTTACTCTTAGACTTTATGGTGATCATCGTTGGTAACTTAACATCGCTCATAGCCGATATAATGGACAATGGTCACTCAGAAAGAATAACAAGATTCTTTATCAAGGGAACGAGTTGAGAGTGCATCGCGCCAATCACGAATTCCGTTCATGAAAAAAAACGTCATACTTACATTGAGAACTTTCATTCATTATCATTGAACCTGCGCACATGTAACACACGAATTGAATGAATAGGAAGGGTTCAGGCCTTCAGGGGTTGATAGAATTACGAAAAGGATGAAAGTTCGAGGTTCGAGCGGTTATCCCTTATGAATGAGCGGAGGGTAGGAGTAAGTTCAAACGCATGCGCTATCACGTTTGATGATACCGAACCGAAGTAACCGAAATAATATTTACAACTAACACTCTATACCGTGGTTTTAATTATATCCATGTCTGTTATCAATATAAATTATCTCAAATTACTTGATAACTTATATGAAAATTGAAAACAATAAACATTAAATTAAACATAGACAATTCCTAGTTTTGAACAATTTTTTTCGGATTTTCTGAACAATTTGAATTCCAAATATAATAATTATTATTATTATTATTATTTTTGTCAAAATCAAAAATCGAAATGTTTAATACATATTGTCAGATAGTCTTTTAATTTGACATACGGAACAAAATATGCATGGTAGTAATGTAATATGTTGGAAAAAATTATTAGACTATTAATTGATTATATCGATTAAATATAATATAATGGTTATATGAAAATGTAGTTTATGTGTTAAAATGATCAATATTTTGAAAATTTATTTTTATGTTATTTACATTATCTTAAATTATAGTTGTCATTTTTCTTGTTTAGTTGTTAATGTTAAAGATCAGGTAATTTTTAACAAATAATTAATTGTAGGTATAAAATAGAGATATTAATAATACAAAATGAAAAATACATTAAATTTATCATTTTGGTTTAAGTTACACACTTTCTGATTAAATTAATTTAATGAGTACACTCATATTGTACACTTTTTTTGATATAGGTACGCTTTCTTTTTATTGAGACTAATTTAATTCTTTATTTTTTATTTAGGATGTTTATTTTTTAATTTTTTTAAATTATAAAAAGAATGAAATTTTAGCCAACTCACTTATTAAAAAAAATGTATTTATTATTATCTACTCTGATTATTATTTTAACTCATGAAATTAATATGTGTATTTATAATTATAACTAACAACTTATTTTAATACATTATTTTAGGATGGCAGTGTTATAAAAGAAATAATATATGCAAATATAACAGATGATACAATCACACTAGAACTACAACTACCGGACTCTACATTAATCACACAACACATTGATTTCACAAAGGTATTTACAATTTTATATAAGTATAACTTTTGTTGTATGCCTTAACCTTATTAATGAATAATGAAAGATAGGTAGGTACATATTATATGAATAATGTAATAATTCTTATTAGGAAGTTCAAATAGTACAAGTGTTGTTCCTTGGAGAAGAAGAACGTGGTCAAAAGCCATATCAAATACTTTGTTTTGTCAATCATGTTCATGCAAATGAATTTATATCACCAGATGCAATGTCAAAACTCAGACAAGTATTATTATAAATGAAAAATAGTATTAATTACTATATAAATGTATATTAAAAACAAACTTTTTTTCAGAAAAATCCTGGTACAATTCGAGTTGCAGAAGAAAATAAAGGTGTATTTAATATTACAATAGATATGAAAATTAAATCAAAAGATAGTAATTATATATCACAACATGTTGGATCATTATGTTCTGAAGCACAAGATACAACTTTTACTAGCAAAGTTGACATTGATAAATGGGCTACTGTACCGGGTAATTAAAACTATACAGTAAAAATTATACTTGTATACATCCAACTTTTTTTATTTTTAACAAATTTACTTTAGTTTATTACCTATATGTTTTGTTGAAAACTTTAGAAAAATCTAAGTAGGCTCTTCCACACTAAGCAATATTTATAAATATGTATGTATATTTATGATAAACGTAAGTAAGAAAAGAACACCTTGCTAAAAATCTTGTAAGATTTTGTTGATGATTATACTAAATATATTAAAAAGAATTTTCGCATGAAATACCAGAGCTAAACTTAAAAAATTATAACCTTTTAAACATACTTTATTCAAATCTCTAACCATCATAAATATCATATTCTTCAATACTTTATTGAATAAAGTTTATTCTATGATTCAACAAAGAACATTCTCTCAAAAAAATAACATATTTACAATATTAAAGTTAAATTTGCTAAGTTTCAAATGATGAACATTATTTTACAATGGTTCATAAAACAATTGTTGAAATACATGAATTACTACTTTTAATAAATATATTTAATTATATTCAGGCATTCAGCTAAACTTTCCTGGTCAACTCCCATTCTAAAATTCTTAAATATATTTTATTTTATTAATTTGTATGCTTTATTTATTTAGGAATGTACTTGGGAAATTTGTTACAAGCTGTTGAATATATTAACTATAAATCGCCAAACTCTAATTTGAAACTATGTCGAGATACAGGTAAAGTATGGTCGCACTGTTTATGTACAATGAAAGTAACCATTCCTTGGTATCCTTGTGCTTTAAAATTCTGCAAAGACCATATTGGTAAAAAGTCAACAGCGGTTGATAGTTATCGATGTGGTATACAGACTTGTGGTAAAATTATGAATTTTATGTACATTGTTAAACACAAGCAACATTGTTTGACCATTGAATAACATATTGTATCATTATTGGTTTGTATTTATAAGGTAAATTAAAGATCTCTGCTGTACATAAGTAAATAAATGTATAAATAAATGTTGCATTTACATATTATTTATAATTAATAATAATAAAAACATTTTATTTAAGAACAGTCTTACTTAATTTAAATTAAAATGATACCAAAGCTAGCATTTTGAACATCTGTATTAAGAGTATGTTACACTGACATTTGTTGTTTCCGTGTTACAAGCGCGCAACATAGCAAATTGTACACTCAGCAGAACACTTTAAGCTCCGTTTGTTTAACAATTAAAGTGAATTAACTATACAATTTAAAGGTAAGGTTATTATCTAGGAAATCACATTTGTTTTTTATTATATTTTAATTTAAAAGCGAGTTATGAGTATTTTAAAATTGTAAATTGTTTGCTTCTTAAGAAAGAAAATAATTCAACCTGTGATCACTGGATGTTAATGCCTAGTATCTAGGCTCTTATAGGTCATGTACACTGCCATGCATCAAGCTCATCACCCCTAATTTTATATTCTCAAAATCCAAGCACACTAATTTTGCATGTACTACTCATTAGCAAAAACAAACTTTTATAAATCATTAATTTAAAATTGAATATTATGTATGTAAAACAAAAATTGCATTAAATTATGTTGAAATACTGAATTCTTATTAAACTTAAATAACAAAAATAATTGTTTATGATTATGTAAATACTGCTATTATTGAAGTTTTAATTATAAACAAATCCATTCAAATAATGAATTGAAAAAATATAATTTATAATACTTATTTGGATCATTTTTTCTTGGACAAAGTCGGTAAAATAGCTATTATATTATATGTCTATTTTTTTTTATTGTTTCATCAGTAACTCTAACAAGTTATTTCAGGCTTTAGAGACTATATTACATCAATATTTAATTTGGAATAAATGAAGTTAAGTACACACAAAATCTAATTTTTAATAAACGTGATTTCATGTGTTTGAAGAATGGTCACACTTATAGATTTTGAGGATGAATGTATCGGGTTCCCTATAAACTTTGTATGTTTTTTTTCTTTAAGATTATCTTCACCTTTTTGAGTTTCATAATAGACTTAATTTTTCAATTTATTTGAATTGATATAGTTGTTCATTAATTATTAATGCATATAATTCCTTTATTTTTTTTTATTATATATTAAGATATTCCTAGCTAGCACTATCTATAACTAAGGATAATATATTATAAGTTCTATCTTACTAACTTTGATAAATAAAACTAATTCATTGTAACTATTCATTACAATCTAAAAAACAGTAGGTATAATATATAAAATAATCTTACAATAAACCTAGGGCTTATCCAGAAATTTATCAAGGGGTGGTATTTAAAATAAAATGTATCCAACAGATACTATTCATATTAATAAAATACTTTTTAATATCTTTATTTTGAATTTATTCTGACAAACTGGTATCAATGACAACATTTATATACTTAAAAAAAACAACACTAATTCTATAGATATGGTACAGCAAAAATAAAACATTTTTGTATCCTTCCTTATTTTAAAAACAGCACCAGCTTGTTCTGAGCCATGACACTGCAAGTATCAGTACAAATACCAACACAGTAATATAAGTTCAATCCGTTTTGGTTCATTATTTTAACAACAGTTTTTCCTAACAAAGTGCCAGTTATTTTCGGTTCAACATCATTAGGATTAGACTTTCGTTTGGACATATTACGTGATAAAATTAAATTATAACACACACTATACACTTAAAATGCGTATAGGACACAACCATAGATTATATATATATTATCTATGGACACAACTAAACTAGAAATCTAAAAATTACTATAGTATAGCCATCGTAAGAACGCTACTGGGCGGCGACCAAAATTCATCCGATCTCGCGCATTCCCACCACTAAATCTTCCCGAACGCTGGCCGCCGTCAACTCTGGCCGCCGCCACTGTCGCAGCCATCGCTACTGTCGCTGCCACTACTGCCTATTTACGGTGGCGACTAGATGGTAGAGTGGGAGAAACTTGGGTACGAAACTGCGGAGCTCGGTCATTTGGATGCGCGAACGAGTAGCGTTCTTACGATGGCTATACTATAGCTATTATATCGTAAAAATTATACCGTACCTACATACAAAATGACAATGGTCGGGACGCTACTAGTTTTTTTGTAGCGCGCTAAAGCTACAGCTACTCACCCCCCCCCCCCAAAAAAAAGTAGCTCGCTATCACTACTTTTAGATTCTGAGTGGAACGATGAATATATTGATTTTACAATGATGTGTGTTTCTTTTTTTATTTTTGTGTGTCTACACGATAAGTAGTCGAAATAATGCTTCGATTTTCGACTTCAGTACCTTGTTCAATTGGAAAGTGAATATCGTTGGTGCATTGGGGAGGTCAAATTTTAAAATTCGCAGTACTTTTCAAAAGCGCCAAGAAAACAAAAGAAAAATTAAGGAAAACGGGAATTTTTACGCAAAATCGTTTTTTCAGAAAATTGAATTTGGTTTTTGGTGTAACTTTAAAACAAATGACCGTAGATACATGAAATTTTCACTGGTTGTTTATATTTGCATTTTCTATACACGATAACATTTTCAAAATATTTTGATTTATTTTGAACTGTTAAGGGACATTTTCATTTTTCATTTTTTTTTAGTTTTTTTTTTTGGAAATATCAATAAAATTTTATTTGTTGGTTAAAAAAACTTGAAAATTTAATAGAAGGCTCCTAGTATATTGTTTAAAAGGCAGATGAAAAATATTAAAAATCGCTAGTCACAGTTTTTTTTATAAGCATTTAAAGTTCAAAAATAGACAAAATATGGAAAAATCACAAAAATTAGCAAATTATTTTGAGTTAAAAATTTTGAGTAAAATCTAAGATTTGAAAATCTAATAAAAGATTACTCATAATAAGATTGTCTACCTTTATCAATAAAAAAATCTCTACCGGAAAGTCAAATTAAATTTTTATGAGCGTTTGAAATTCAAATTTTTACAATATTGGATATTCACTCGATTTCTCATGTAGCGATTTCCTTATTTTGTTGTAATTCAAAAACGAGTAACTGTAGATACATGCAAATTTCACTGAATGTTCATATTAGCATTTCCTATACACTGTACAATTTTGAAAATATTTTGACTCTTTTTGAGCTGTTTACGGACATTTTCGTTTTCAATTTGTTTAGTTTTTTTTTCTATAAATATCAATAAAGTTTTATCTATTGAGCCAAAATGTGTAAAAATTTAATACAAGGCTCCTGATATATTGTTACAATAGCAATTGAAAAATATTAAAAATACATAGGCACAATTTTTTTTTATAAGCATTTAAAGATCGAATTTTGACAAAATGTATCCAAATCTCGAAAATTATCAATCATTGTAATTAATAAATTATAAAATGTTCAGTTTTTATAATTGGATTGCAAATGTAAAAAAAATGTTCTCATAAATAGTTCATACTTTAACCAAAATATCTAAAAAATATATGAACAGAGTTATTTTTACAGACATTTTAAATTCAAATTTGGACGAAATTACATAATAAAAAACCTAGAATAACTATTTTAGTTATTTTGTTGTGATTGTATAATATTATTCGTGGGTACTTGAAACTTCTAAACTCTAAAGTATACTAGTTACTATATATGATATATCTATGATAGTAATATAGTATCAGGGTTTGTTGTTGGTGTATAGGTAACGCGTTATTCGCGATTAAAAGGAAATATAGGTAGCACACTAGTCGATACTAATGATAAGGCTAACAGGGAAAAGGGTCGCCCGGTGGCCGAGGCCCGTGCTGTTTAGTCTACTTACTACTTTCTAGTTTCTACTTAGTTTACTTTGTCTACTTTCTAGTTTCTACTGCAAGAAGTAGTTGACGCTCACGCTAAGTTTATTGTAATAGAAGTTGGAGATTATGGTCGGTCTAGTGATAATGGGATTTTCAAAGAATCCTTATTTGGTAGACAATTAATTCAAAATAAATTAGATTTGCCAGCGCCCAGCACCCAAAAAAAATTGATCAAAGTATTAATGAAGATTTCCCTTTTGTATTTGTTGACGATGAGGCTTACCTACTTTTACCTACTTTGATGAGACATTTCCCTCGTAGAAATTTAACAAACGAAAAACGTTTATGGTATATACAACTATCGACAATCCCGTGTGAGAAAAATAGTCGCATGTGCATTTGGAATTATGGTAAAAAGGTTTAACGTATTAGAAAATAAAATGCTAAACAGAACTGAAAAAACTGCAAAAATAACTCAGGCGATTTGTGTACTCCATAATTTAATTGTGACTAGAGTAGCTAACTTCCTTTGTACAACTCTTAATAAAATAGTTTTAAAAATAAAAAAATATACAGTGTAAAGAAAATGAAAATATAAACATTCAGTTAAATTTTTATGTATATACAGTTTTTTGTTTTGTTTTTTTTTTTAATTACAACAAAATAAATGTAATTAATTGTATTAATTTCCTACCTGTGGAACTGTGGTTAACACTGTGGAATAGAACAAGCCTTATGGGTATTATTAATTAGTATTTTTGGACTACTATTAAGGTGATAATTATGATCATACATCATACAACTAATAATATAATATTCATATAATATTACAATAAATTACAATAAATTATTTATTAATTCGTATTTCGTGTGTGGTACTGTAGAGGGTGGGAAATTCATAAACTCAAAAATCGTACTGGAACTATTTACAATGCCTGATGGTTGGTATTAATTTGCAATTTTTTTATTTGAGGTTAGAGTTCGAACTCTTGATTAAGATTATCAGCTATAATTTCTTATCAAGGGACCTAACTCTTATCACGGGGACCCATAAAAATGCATATTTAGTAAAATTATGTGGAATTTAATACAACTGACATGAACAATTTATTATTTTATAGAATTGTATGTGTTCGTAGTCTGCAATAATCAATAAAATAAAAATGCAGATAACAAATTTGAAAATTGTAGAATTGTAACATTTAATAGTAGGTAGGTATATAAAAGTAAATCTAGGATTAGTATCTTATCTAATCGTTTATTACTCAATTAGTCTGACTAGTGACAACCGTTGTTGTATAATCTAATCGTTTATAGATATATCAATATCAATATAATATGTGAGTGTTTGACGTCTTTACGTTATTTTAATTCAATTAGTCTAGTGACAACCGTTGTTGTACAATCGTATGTTCGTTCAAAAATTATTTATATTTTAATAGAAACAAATTTAATGGAATATTATTTATATTAATTTATTTTAAACATGTTTTTATTTATGGAAAAAATTGCATATTATAATATATTTTTTGCATATTTTTAAATTTTTTATGCATATATTATAATTTTTCCTTGCATATTTGCATGCATATTTTGTCTATTTTAGCTCCTATAACTTCTCATCCCTAGTGATAACCTACTGTATTGATAATACGCAAAATATGAAAATCTAAAAAGTCGTGCATGAAGAGGACATTGAACTATATGATATCATATAGTTCAATGGAAGAGGATAAGTACCTAATGGATATTGTGATATGATTAATTTGGAATTCATTATAGGTCAATTTTTTTTTAATACCATAGATAAGTATATATAATATGTCTTATACCTAGAAGGACATACCGTCTCCGCTCAGAATCGTTTTTCTTATACAATGATGAGTGAATGATATAATATCATTGAATTCAAATGTAATACCATCCATTATACAGTGACCCACTTGGAACCTACTGTACAGCAGAGCCACACCCACTTGCCCACCTTTTTAAAATTTAATCGCGTATAAAATATAAATCCAAAAAATGTAGTATTTGCTATGGGTTTTTTCCTTATTGTATTATTCTGTAAAATGACAACTCTACAACAAAAATATACCGAAGAAATTAAAATTAAACGATTAACGACCAATTAACGAGCGATATAGCTGGTACTCGATTCTAAGAAAATCAGGATTGCAACGACAACGTATAATTCTGCAATCATGGAAGATACTAAAACGTCTAAAACCAAACTTTTAATTTATTCTAGGTATTATTCAGTACAATAATACAATTAGCAAAATACCTATAGTAAATACTACATTTTTTGGAGGTACCTATACGCGATTTACTTTTAAAAATATTAATTTTTGATAAAAATAATTACTTTTTCAAATTAATAAAAATAATTTGCACATTTCTGGTTTAATTGGGTACGTTGGTGGCCGTTGGTCGATAGAACACTTAAATCATAGATAATAAAGAAACAATACCATTTTATACAGATTTTATAAACAAATTTATAATATACATTAAGGGATTAGAATTTTCTGATGGAAAAAAAATTATCAATTCTAATAGAAATACTGGTTTTGTTGGTATGATAATGTCACTTACAAATGCAGTCGAAATGTTTAGCGATTTACGATCAAAGGGAAAAATAAATTATTTAATCACCTATAAAATAAGTCAAGATCATATAGAAACTACATTCAGTGCTATCAGAAGTAGACTAGGCTACAACAACAATCCAACATGCAAACAATTTAAAGCTGCATACAAACGCATATTAGTGCACAATGAAATAGTTGGGTCTGAATTTGGCAACTGTTCTATATTGGATAACACTAAAATGTTAACAGTTAATTCATGTGTAGAGGAGAAGCAAATTAATGATACTTGTAAACCAGAGGTTCATCTTTTGGACCATGATTACTTTGAATCTTATATGAATATTTCAAAATATGTTGGGGATACTTCACAGTATATTGCTGGATTTGTAATAAAAAAAATATTAAAATCTATTACTTGTTCTATGTGTCAAGCTTCATTAATCACCAATAATTCAAATTATAACAGAAACACTTTAATCAGTATAAAAAATCGTGGTAGTTTAATTTTCCCCAGTAAAAGTGTTGTACTAGTCTGTCAAGAAACAGAAAGATTAATTCGAAGCTATCCACCCACTTATTTCAACAGTAATAAAAACAAATTATATTTGTTGGTTAAAATTAAACAGAATTTGTACAAATATAATAGAGAACTTTTTTCAAACTGCCCTGATCAAGAATCATTTTTAGATACACACAAGGACCAAATTATAAAGTTAATTGTTTTTAAATATGTAGACATTCGTGTATTTCATGAAGTTCGAAAAGTGAATGACACAAATATAAAATCAGGCCGTTCTAGAGCTAAATTTACAAAAATGGTACTCTTCAATCATGAATAATGACAAAATAATTAATTTGTTGGAACTATTTAATATTATGTACCTATGTTTTTATTATAACTTTTTCTTATTATTAATTATTTAACATTTCAGTTGCCTCTATTTGATTATTATTATATTATTTTTTATTATGCTATTATTATGATATTATATATTATGTTGTTATTATAACTTTTTCTTATTATTAATAATTTAACATTGCAATTTCCTCTATTTAATTGTTATAATAAGTATTATTTTTTTTATTATTTTTTTTTACTATGATATTATTATAATATGTACATTGCACAGAAACATTGTTTATTTAATTTTGACTAATAATTATAAATTTAATATTATATTTTATAGTTATTAATTATTATAGTTTTGATAATTCCAGTTTTTAAAAATAAGTGGAATACTAGAATCAAAACTGGAAGTAAAAGTGTAAAAGTGTATTCATGGAATAAAAAAAAAAAAAGCACTTTATGTTATAATAACTGTAATAATTGTGTCCGGGAACGTATGATAAGGGAACATGGCCTATCCATTCTTTATTATCTATGACTTAAATAGCTTTAAGATAAAAAAAATTACGTCAAAATGTTGATTAGTTTTGAAGATAGGTACATACAAAAATGTGTGATAGGTTTGGTTTTGATAAGAAAAAAGTGAACCACTCTTTAAAGGGTATTTCTTCATCATTTTGAATATACTTTCATATGACGTCGGCCGGTCACTTCACCCCGGGACACATTGTATACCTATGTGATGTACTTATTAATTATAAATATATAATAATGTGTACCTATTGACTTATTCTATTATTTGATATAATTATGACTTTATAAGTATTTATAAATACTATTATTATGTAGGTATAATAATAATATTATGTATTTACCTCTTATAGTGAATTGTGTAGACTTTTTACGTTTAATAGTTAATCAGGCGCGTAGCCAGGATTTTCTCATGGGGGGGGTTTGCCAAAATTTGTTGGTAAACTTACCTATATTTATATAAATCGCTAAAAGGTTAGCATTACTCCATGTATGACGAAGCAGACATTTTTTCACACGAATGTATAAAATATAAATAACAAATGTAATACGATATAATATATTTACTAATTTAAGTATTTATAATTTATACTATATACCTTTTAACTACAAATACATATTATATAGAATAGAATCAAAACTTTTATTAACGAAATAGTTGATGGCAAGTTTAATTGGTTTGATGATAGATTTTTTTTTTAAAAAAATAAAAAAAATGTCAGTATCAAGTTTAAAGTTTTTTAATCTCGAAAAATATTTTTGCCATTTTTTTTAGGGGTTTTAAAAAAACTCATGGGGGGGGTTGTGACCTGATAACCCCCCCCCCCCTTGGCTACGACCCTGTAGTTAATAAAATTCGATTGGAAATATAAACGTATTACTTATCATGTATCTTGTATTTTGTATCTTGATACACTAAATGTATGTATCATGATACTTTTTTTTGAGTATCTTGCCCGACACTGCATGTTATATAAAACTGTCAGCAACATTTTGGATAGTAAAAATGCTCCGATTTTCGAGATCATCGCCTTTTCTGAATTCTGATAGATAAGTGAATCTAGTTGGTACTTTTGGGAGGAATTGAAAACTCCAAATAGTATTAGAAAGAGTTAAAAAAAAACCAAAAAACTCATCATTTTCACGCCAAACAAATTTTTGAAAAAATCGATTTTCTTTTTTTGGTGTAACCCAAAAATTAACAACTGTATATAGCCACTTGAAATTTTCACCAAATATTTATATTAGCATTTTCCATAAATTGTAACATTTTCGAAATATTTTGACTCTTTTTGAACTAGTTATAGATTTATAGCCTTGATAATTTTTTCGAATTTTGTAAATTATTTTTAAACTATTCTCGAATTTTAATAGAAGGTTTGGTACCTACTCGTCTAATACCTACCATAAAATGGTATCTACCAAAAAACTGTATGCGTGTAGTATGCTACCTACCGCAATTATTTTTATGTTATTTCATTTTATTGCGGGAAATTACATTTGAGTCTTTACGATAAATAACATATTATAACAGTTATACAAAATTATAGCGTAATAGCCATTATTTATTAAGATAACTGATCCACCAAGACCCATGATAATACTTACTTTTAGATATATTATTTTAGTATGTGTTGTGTTCGGGTATGTGTGCGTCCTATAATCCTATTCGTTGCTAGTTTTACTTTTTATTTCTTTATTTTAAAATAAAAAAAAATGAACAAATTAATGCTCTATTTGTACGGGCATATAATATGTAATGAAGAAACATTCAAACATGTGTTAATTATCTTCAAGAGACAAACTTACTCCCAGAATCTTGTAGTTGTTCCAAATTAAAATATGGTGTTATTTGTGGAGGCACGTTGAAAGAATATCAAAAAAATAATCGTAAAAGGGACTCAAATGGTGATTTATTAAAAAATACTTATTTACGATGTCAAAAAAAAGTTTGCCAAGCTTATCACTCTTTAAGAAAAAAAAATCCTTTTTTACATATTACTATAAAAATGGTAAAAGTTATAGTGGTTTAGCATTAAATTAAATCGTTGAATTAGTTTGGTATTGGGATTATCAAATACCAGTTTCAATGTCTCAATGACAGAACAATTTACAACCAAAACTCGTAACACAATTGTAGATTGGAATAATCTCTGAAGAGATGTAGCAGTTGCAATGTTTGGCAAACGTAAAAAAATGGGTGGTCCAGGGCAAATTGTTCAAATTGACGAGTCACTATTTCAAGGCAAGCGTAAATATAATAGAAGACGATTGAGGAATGGATATATAATATATTATAATTAGGTACAAATGTAGATGATAATGTATTAAGCGAAATGATTGTTTTTATAAACAATGATAACGAAAAATAATGAATGTATTTTGCGGACGATATTGATGATGATTATTCAACTCAAAAAAATTACGGTATTAGTTTTCAAGGTGAATGGATTTTTGGTATGTGTTTTAAAAATGTTGATGTTGTTCTAGAACGAAGATTTTTTAAAGTGGAAAAAAGAGATAGTTATCATCATGAAAATGAAACCGTCAATCATTTTTCCGAGTTGTTTGTTGGTCCTACAACAGGCGCTCAAACACAAACGATCGAGTGTATATGGAGACATGTCAAAACTAAATATGGAATTAAAACCCGAGGAGCAACAGATTTGTTAGACAGACAATTAAAAGAAGAATGGCGGCGGACCATTAATACGCAACACCACTTATTAGAAGTTTTCTGGGATGATTTTAAAATAATATAATGTATAATATATAATGTATAATAATATAATGTATAATATATAATGACGTATAGAAATATTATAAAGTAGGTACTTGTCAGTTGACAATGAAAATTAATAAATTATTTAGTAATAAATTGTAACTAATATTGTTGTTAATTTGTTATTAATCAATAATCAGTAAACGTTTTTTTGGTAAGTATCATTTTATGGTAGGTAGCATAGGTACTACACCAACGAAGTACCTAGCATATTAGATAGCATATTAGACGAGTACCGAAGGTTTTAACTTTTAAAATTCTCAACAAGTTTTACTATCTCTATCAAAAAAAGAGTGTCCCCCCCTAGCACCGTCAATACATTAACCAAAAGTACAAACTTAAATCAATAATTGATTGAGAAAAAATAAAAAATGTAATAAAACAATAGTCATATTAATTTACGTTTATTTTTGTTGCATACTTTGAAGGTAAACTTTAAACGTGAAATTTCTCCTCATGTATACCTATTTAAATTTTTTTTGTAATTATAATTTGACTTTTCAACTGTAGCTGGTTGGAACCGTAAGCAAATTTTGTTAATTTTTAAAAATAATGTGCTTTGTGTATTTTTATCAAGAAGCAAAGCAAAAACTAATGGTATATCCTAATATCCATGACAAAATAATTTTTTCATGGGTATATCATTTTGATTCTTAGAATCATGAATAGTAAATAACTGCAACAAATATTTTGTACAATACCTATCTAATAAAATGTACCGACTAATAATATTTTTTCGTTAGAATGAGAATCATCAATCATCATACCGCTGCATGAATACACAGTGCATAAACACTTTCTAGGTTGTATTTTATTTATAAAAATATATTTTTATACTTATTATTTTCAAGTTATAATTTTTAGCTTTTTGAGCTTTTAAATTCCAAAATCGGTATTCAAATAAAATGTTTGAGTGTATAGAATATTATTTTAAGTAAAAATGTCCATGTAGGAGATTACAGTATAGGTATCTTTGATTTTCAGGTAAAAATGTTGTTCATGTAGGAGTTTACATTTGGCCTATAATAATACATATAAGACATTTGGTTGCGGCATTGCGCAATATTGCCAATATTTATTGCGATTTATTGGGTACCTACATATTTTTTCGAATATATAATATTATATATAATATTAGGTACCTATCGGCTATCTGCATTCAAATTTTAATGCAATTTCTGATCGAGGTATTTTGTTTGGATAGATGTTTAGTGTTTACAAAACGCTCAATTTGTGTCATTGCAATAACATTAATCAAATCGTCATTGTATATTTGTATTAAGTTTTAGGTCATTTGGCATACATACAAATTCACTATATTTAGATTTTATAATAATATGATTATTTTATATTACCTACCTACATATTGTTTATTGTAGCATTAGGTACACGATTTTCCATATAATTTATATATTATAATTACCTACAATCTACATGTTTTATTACTCATCTTAATAAACATTAAGCCTCCATGTATAATTAAAACAACATTAATAATAATATATTCGTTTAAAAAACATGTTATACCATAAGTAGGTACATGTATCAATACTTTCTCATATAGTTACCTACAATGAAAAAAAATACAATATTTATAAAATAGAATTGATTTCAAGTAGATAGGTATTTATTAAGTGTTAAAGTGTTTAAGTATAGCATAATTAAATACCTACCTATAATCTATATGGTAATCTCTATGACTATATATATATATATTTTAGGGCGTTTAGGCCTTTAGGATTAGGCCATTATAGGGTATAGTTGTAAATACTAAGTAAGTACAATATTCAGTCATTTTAATAAAAATATAAAATACATTTTAAAGGTAGTCAGAATTAGGTAGGTATATTAGAAAATATATTATGATTTGTGATTGTTTCAAAAATATGGATATGTTTATTTACAATACTGCATAGGTATCTATATATATTAATAATAAATTATAGGTAGTATGAGATCACTATATTCATGATGTGCCAATTTTACTCCGGCACTATTCGTACGTAATGATATCTTGAGTTAAATGTACAATTAGAATGTCAGGTATTAATGGCTAAAAGCCAAAAGGTATTCTGAGATTACAGTATCCTATGTGGATCGTCAATATAGGTACAGCTAGAATACAAATCGAACGCATGGCTGAACGATTTTTTACGATGAACTTGAAGTTATGCAAATCAATTTATAGAATTTACTTAATTGTCATCTAAATCATATACGTTCATAAATAATTTTCATAAATTAAGTTCATATATAATCATAAAATGTGCGAAGAAATCGAACTTCATCGATACGACGACACGCCTTGGGGATTTCGACTGACAGGAGGCCATGATTTCGGGATTCCTCTTACTGTCGTTCGGGTAAGTCTTAAACTTTAAATAGAGCTGAATGTTAAAGAAATATTGATCTTTTAATTATAATTACATAACTGTTAAAATAGGTAACTGGAGGCAGTTTGGCCGAGGAAGCTGACATGAATGTTGGAGATATGATTATTGAAATTAATGGAGATAACACAGCACAGATAACTCATAGCGAAGCTCAGCAATGTATTTTAGAAGCTGGCAATAGCATTACTCTTTCGATTTTAAGGTGAATAAATACAATTAATAAACCATATAGTAATATTTACCTATAGTTGGTGTATATGGTGATTCACTAAGTACCTACCTATGCTAAACATAGGAGTGTTCAGACTGGTAGCTGTGAGGGCATAACTAATTTTCAAATCGTGTCACCTATTTTTTTTAGAGACGAAATAACATCCAGTTTTTATATAAAAAACTCGCAATATTAAGAACATTTTTTAAATATGACTGAACAATTTAACCATCGGCATGTAATTAGCTCAAATAACAATAAAATAATTTTTAAAGATTATTATCCTTAGTAGGTGTAAACATTTTATTTTCGGAAAATTGGGGGTTCTTATTTCAATAACAGAAGTTTGTATCACTACAGAGTACAGTTCACAGATGTGAATCTTATGCAGTACAAAAAAACCTCAAGAATTTGAAAATTTACTCTCAGACCTCAGTTAATTAAAAATTCCAAAAATCAAAATTTTAATAAATTCATAAATTTTATTTTCAATTTTAAATTTAGTTTAAACTCATTATTAAATGATGAAATGTGGTTGTGCCAATAATTCACCCCTATGATATGACAATTTAATTTAAACTATAGGCAATAGCTAGTTCATCTATCGCATAATGCATTTTAAATTAACCAAGTTATTAGTACCTACTCTAAATTCTAATATTCTATAATAATCTTTATTTTATTTTAGTTTTTAGATACCTTTTTATATACCTTCCTAACATTTCTATTCAATTATTTCTTGTTTAATTTTGTTTAATTTTGTATAAATAAAACCAACTTATTGTATAACACCTACAAATATACAACAACATAAAATAGTTTATGTTATAGTTTAAAAACATCAGAGGGTGGCTTCTTTTTTTAAATTGAACATGTTTATATAAAATTATATTGTCTGTTAGGTACCATAATATGTCTTGAAGTTTATTAGTATGTATATTGACTAAAAAAAATTTAAAAAAACACAAATAAAACTATTAAAATAAGTAATTATTTTTTCTTGTCACAAAATTAAAATTAAATTTATATTTACAGAGGAAGTCCTGTACCAGCAGTTACACCGACCAGAGGACTACACACACCTTCAGTCATTGATCGTGCAACATCTTCTATTGGAAGTTTAACTGAATATGAGCATAGAGATAATGTAGTATCAGGTTAGTCCAAACGGTAACACCTTGATTTAAACTAATAATAATAGTTTAATAATTCTGTGGCACAGTTGTATCAGAATCATATGAGAGTGGTCATGAGATGACTGAGGAAGAAATAGCTGAAAAATTATTAGAAAGTGCTGAAGTTATTGAAAATAATGGGAAAAATGTCATAGGGTAAATAGTAAATATATAATGTTTGTATTTAATTGAAATTAATATACTTTAAATTTTGATAGTGTCAATTTTAAACGTTTTGTGCCTAAATGTGATTTTATTAAAAATTCACTGGTATTTCAAACATTACAAGAAGAACAAATTTTTGACCAAAAATCAGAGCAAGAGCAATTAAAAAGGTGTCCGACAAAAAGATTTTCAACATTTTTAACACCACCAAATAGGCCAAAAATCAGACCGCCTGAAAAAAAAAAACATGAAGAAGTAAAACAACCTGAGGTGTGATATTATGAATTAAATTACATTAAATTACATTTTAATATATTCTATCTGTACATTAATAAACATTAAGCTAATATATATATATATACAGGCTAGAAATTTGCTAGACTAAACCGGTGTGAAAAATAAAACACCTGGGATGTTTGGACCATATCATGCACATTGATTCATTATCCTGCACCTGATAAATGATATGGTCTATACATTCCGGTACCGTATTTTACACACCGGTTTAGTCTAGAAAATTTCTAGAGGGTGATTTTTTAAGCATGCTCACCCCTTAATTTTTCCCTCTAATAGCGTACATTTATTCAAATTCTGATTTTTAGTAGTTTTAAGTAGATATGCCTAATGACCATATTTTAAAATTTCTTATATTACTGCTTAAATAGTACAAACATCTATTTTTAAAATGAGAACTCCTCTTTTATACTGCAAATTATTTAGTGGATGATTTTCTTGGAAATACTAAGTTATATAACTCAAAAACTATTCGCTTGAATTTTGATTTACATACCTACCTAAAAATTCTCAAAAAAAATAATGCTTGATAATTAAAAAAGGAAAAAGATGGTTCCTTTTTGAAAAACAGAAGTTTGTTTTGTCATTTGATCAACCTTAAGTTTTACAAAAAAATCGTAAGGCTTAGTAATAATATGGTTCTCAAGTGAATTTACTATTTAAACATACTAAAAATTAGAATTTGAATATATGCATCATTTCAGCATAAAAATAGGGTGAGCATGGTTAAAAAATCACTTTGTATAATATATTAACTATCAAGGTATTGTGATTATAAGTAATACTAATAAAAAATACTTCTGATACCTAGGTAAATGAATCTGAAAATCAGCTAGTCGAGGAAAATAAATCAGATTCTTGCGAACAAGTATGTACCAACTGTAAATGTAAATTAAGTGATATAGAAGATTGTATTGTATCTACGGATACAGTAACAGAAATAGAAAATCACGATGTTGATCATAATGTAGACAATTTTGAAGAGAATTTGGGAAATCTAATTGACATTGAAATTGAAGGAGATGAAGAGCCAAGTGGGATTGACCATGAAAAAAAAGAAAATATTAAAACAAATGAGGTAGATGTATATAACAATTTATGCACTTTAATAAATTAGTAGTTACCTATACCCAAAAGTTTTAAGTACGTTCATTTTGAGTAATTGGTAATTAAAATTTGTACAAATATCACTAATATTATATCGCTTATTTTTAATGCAAATGTAAAATTTAATTTAAAATTCATAACTATATTTTTTAGGACTTAATTGAAAAAAATGAAGAAATGCATGAACCAAAAATTGTTGAAGTGAACAAAGAGCCTGAGAATACGTTTGAAAAGAGTATATTAAATATTCAAAATCAATTGTCAGCTATTCGAGAATTACCGCTACAGATACAAAATCATATTTCATTGTTGGAAAAACAACTTTCAGATATACTCTCACACAAAATTCAATCATCTGAAACATCTGAAAGTAATGAAACTAAAAACAATGATGACGAAGAAGAACAAAAAGAAAGTTTGATTGACCAGGAAAATGTTGATGACGGGTCACTTGAGACATTATATGATGATGATGAAGTGTTTGAAACAGTCATTGATGAAACATTTGAAGATGTACAAGAATTGGAATCTAATGGAATATCAGAAGACAATTTTGATGAAGAAGCCGAAGATAGAGAACCTAGTGGTAGGCCAATGTACCCCCTTACACCATTGCCAAGACCTATCGTATTACCCGGTGGTCGTAAATGGAGATGCCCCAAAGATGCTTACAATGAGAAATTTATTGCTGAAACATTGATATCACAAGCGGAAGTTTTAGTTGGTTCTACATTGGGGTAAAAACTAAACTTTTAAAATTTTTAAATTAATAATATAGAATATTTAGGTTCCATTAACATCTACAATTAACCTATTCAGACATATTTGCTTATGTAGAATGCTGAATGGCACATATGCTTTTCTCCTATTTAGCCTATATTAGTTAGATACATCTATAGTATTTACAATCAATGATATTATGTTGGTATATAATGTGTATATACCATTATAGACAGGGTTGGGCATATCATAGTTACATGCACTAGCGCCAAATGAAATTAAAACTGGCAGTTCGAATAGTTCGATTGAACCACCCACCCCTTCAAACGACTGGGAAACTGGCTCAACTAATTATGTATAAATAATTTAATGACATATCTATGTTTAATATAATTATAGCAGAAATACTAAGAAGTATGCTCTATTATTTATTTTATAAAGGTAAATTAAATTTTATTTGTTCAGTCAAAATGCTTTAAAATGTAATACAAGGTTGAAGGTTCCTCACACATTGTTACAATACCAGATTAAAAATATTAAAAATACAAAATCAAGATTTTTTTTTATATTTGTTCATTTCGGTTTTTGCAATTAATCTGGCTAGGTACTGGATATTCAGTGGTTCAAATGGTTTTACTATTATATAGTTAGTACATTTTTTTTCCTAATATAACAACCATAACGTGATTTTACCTAGCCCCTGGATGGTCAATAATCCTTTATACATTTACAAATGTAACTTTTAACTTTAAATGTAACTTAGTTACATATAACTGTAACTTGTATCTAGTTACTCAATAAAAGTATCTAGTAACTTGTAACTAGTTACATAGTTTTTGAGTTGGTAACTTGTAACTTGTAACCAGTTACAACAAATTGAGTAACTTGCCAAACCCTGATTATACATTATATCACTTATATACAATATACTCATATAAAGTAGAATATTAGATTTTGAGCAGAGCTTGGAATGTAGCTCCTAAAACGTTATGGAGCTAGAATATTTGTAAAAATTCTCAAAACTTGCTTCAAAATTAAAATATTGAATAAAGTCTAGGTGGGACCTTAAATAATATTCTTACCTTACATTTTATAACAGGTCAATTTACTATACTATTAAAATACCAGAAAAATTTAATATTTTGAACATAAACTAACAATAATTGACTCGTCTAATGTGAAGTATGAGTACAATTATTACTAAAAAAATGAGCTCACAAAACTCTACCCAAAACTATTGATGGACATCTTTACAATTGAAGTGTTTGTTGGTGCTAAATTAATAAGGCATATTAATTAATTTTAGAATCTTATAGTTACAAATTAATAAAATATTTAAGTGGCTTTTTCAGTAGGGCTATCTAAAAACTATAGCCCTACCGAAAAGACGCCACCTGGGGCCCTACAATCGCGGCTCATTTTTGCTAGCCGTACTTTAGCAAAATTTGTGTAGTTATTTTATAAAATCGCCAATATCTTTCGAAAAATAAAATAAAAAGCATCAGTTATAAAAAGATAAATGTCTTTCATTTTATAGGAGAACACATTTTTTCCAACTTGTATGGCTGACGGGTGACAATTGAATATGTAATATATATTATTAAATAATATAATGTAGTAAAATATAATTGATTATTTGTTTCTTTATATTTAATATGTATATAAGGATAATTAAACTAATTTATATAATATAATACAACTACAACAGAATACAATCATTTGATTTTTTATACTAATGCAAGAAAAGGTATTAGGTACTCCTTTATTAATTTGCTAAATTAATAAAAAAGAAGAATATATTTTTGACTTTAATAAGTATTTTGATTTATAGGGTAAATTTTAGAAAGTACGAGCCACCAAAATTTGACTTGTCTAATTCAGCGGTATACAAATTAGTACATAATATTGAGAAAAAAAATACTGGGGGTATTGAAAATAGGCCTGAAGTAGTTGCAGCCGAAGAAGATTTCTACTACCACAAACCAGTAATATGAATATATTTAAAAAAAATTGCTCTCCCTTTAAATTACATTAATGACTTATAATTGTGTGTATTCAGATTGACGCAAGACAATTCTACTTAGCTACACTCCCACAACCAAGAACAGTAAGTACATAGTTAATACCAATAATTACGTAATACTTATTAGTTATTAAATATTAAAATTTGCAATGCAATTTTTAAGTTACCTACCTATTATTGTAAATTAAGTGAATATATTTTTGTGATCTTTTACGTTTGTTATTAGAAATATTTTTTATAGCTATAGCTCTGGGTATAAGTATATAACTACATATTGTGATTTTTAGGTTCCGGATTTCGAATCAGATAATCAATATGGACATTAGATGTAAACTATATTTTATTTTTAAATACAAAGTAGTATTCTGTTCTAAAAAATATTATTTAGTATAAGTTTTTCGTTATTATTTGTTATACCTACAATTAACATTTTAGTTTAATAACATAGAAAATGTTAGAATATCACAAAATGTACCTAAACCTTCTAATTTATTGTATTAAGTTTGTGTCTTATTTTTTAATGTGTTAATAATTTATTGTTAATTAATTCTCTGATATTTTATTTTGATTAATTTAGTAGTTATATTGTGTTAGAAGTCTAATAGTGAAATTAGTCTAATTGTTACAAAATTGGTTTTAATTTTCCACAGGTATCTATTATCAAATCAAAAACAGTTTTGTAGAGCCAAGTTATCTATTAAATGTTTTAAGACGGCTGAAAATCATAACTAATAATAAATTATTATAAAAAATCAACACAATACCTATTTGTGAAAAATTTAAATTTTTTATGCTCTATCTGACTATGTATAATACTTACAAACTAATAGATTCATTACTAAGTATTAATTAATAAATGTACTTAGATTACCAAATAATGAAACATACTTTTAATTTGAATTAAATTCAAATATATATGAAGAAGTCTTATTAGCTAACATAAATGTATAAAACTATGTATTTTATTATAAAAAAAAAATAATTAAATGTATTAAAAAAATGCCCAACCTGAAGACAGGAATGAAGCAGAATAAGCAGAAGATTAGCTCAGTAGATGAAACTTTGTTTGGTCAAATCTTAAAATATAACTTATAAGCCATTAGGTCTTTTCTAGCCCCCCTCTCTTCACAAAATTCATAAACTAATAAAGTTAACCAAAACTCAGATATAATTAATTAGTTATATTACAACCATAAATCAAAATCTAATTTATCTATAATATAAAATTGATTTAGTAGTTTAAACATAAAATAATTGATGTATAATATTTTTAAAAATATGAAAATAAAATGTACCTTAATTCAAAGAAATTAATAGTTGATATATTTATTTATTATTCAATATAGGTAATTATGTTAAACTTATCACAGGATACAAAAAAAATTAAATAAGATTAAAATTATTGTCGTTTTTCTAAACTTTTGTATTTTGCTTCCAATCTCTTGGCATATGCATCCAACTTAAACGCTGCTTGTTCTAGCTTTGAAACACTATCTTCAATCTGGTCAATTTGAGAAAGGTATGGTTCTAATGATTTATCTGAATAAAAAAAATAATAAGTAAATAAGTAAATTGAAATCAAGAAAACTAGAAAAGCATCTATTTAAAAAAGATAAATACAAGAATAAAATTACAAGCGATTGTAAGAAACCAAGTAACAAGTAGTCATTTTTTTAAATGTAATAAAAATATTAACATATTACATTTTTCATTTAGTTCAATGATTTGTTTGCCAACATCTGAAGCAATTTGTCTATAAGATGCATATTTTTGCATGGTGACTTTATTCATGGTTTCCAATAATTTATAATCCTCCTATATGGAACAAATAAAATAGTTTTAAATACACATTATTATTTTTTAACAAAAAATATTATGAACCAACCTCAGTAATATTAAGTTCTCCCATCAAATATTCAGATGTTTTTTCAAACATTTTAGTGGATAATAAGCTTAAATTAGGATCATGAGGATCATTACGTTCAAAACTACTGGTGCTAGTAGAAAGAGTTGGTCCTAAAAAATAGTACACAATTTTTAAGTTTTGTTACATTAAATAATTATGTTTTATATTATTGAGTAACATAGTTTCATTAATTTGATGCTACAAAAAATATGATTATATTTAAAATCAATAATTGCCTATAATCATCTTAGGTTTTATTAAGCCTGTTACAACTGAGTTTAAGTTAGCTTCTCCCCTTAAGGCACTGTACTGTTCGCTTGTTAGGCCTATCCTTGAATACGGCTCTGTCATTTGGGATCCTAGTACTGCTCAAAACGCTTTAATGCTTGAGCGAGTCCAAAATAAATTTTTAAAATATGCCAGTCATGCACTTAAGATAGAATGTCCTCCTCATAATTATTTACCAGTACTTGAGTATCTCAAACTAGATTCGCTAGCGACTCGTAGGCGTGCTGCTAACCTCACATTTTTATCCAAGTTATTTAATGGGCAAATTGACTCACCGCACCTTCTGTCTCTAATTCCTTTAAATGTCCCTCCACGCTTCACTCGTCAACACACCTCTTTTAATTTACCTACCGCCTCCACAAATTATGGTTTAAATGAACCACTTCGACGTTGTATGTCTATTGCCAATTCAGACCCTTTCTTTTCTATTTCATAACCTATAACCAAGTATTTATGTATCTTTATATTTCACTGTTATCACATTATTGTAATTAGTTATATTATATCAAATTGGGCTCACGCCCGTATTGTATGCTAAATAAATAAATAAATAATATTTATGGTGTTATGGTACAATAGTTTAGGGAAAAAATGTGTCTCTTTATAAAGATACCCCCACACAAATCCCATTGTCTTGGCACCACGGTGGCAGTAAGCGGAGCCACTATAATATACTTTTGTTACGTCAATAGACTGTCCATCGAGTCTAGCGACCGGAGCCGGTAGGTGACGGGAGGTCCCTTGAGTTTGAACACCAGTTACTTTAACTAACAAGGTTCAATTTACTTGTTATGTTATTCGCCATCCTGTAAATCTACATTTGTTATTTAGGCACTGTAGCTGCAAAGTAGTAGAAAACGTAAAATTGCAAACTTCGGAAGGCTATAAATTACAAAATAATGGTTTCCGCAAAAAAAATTCAGTTTCAAAATCAGCGTCAAAAAACACATCTTTTTAAAAAAATAATTTGAAATTCGTGAGGGGTGTGGTAAAGTGCATTTGTTCCAATGTTATATTATATGAATAATAAAATTATTCTATTTCATATTTAGCCTTAACAGTAACAAATCCCACACAAATGTATGTATAAGTCAAAAATTAATTTATAACTTATAATTTCATACTATTTTAATTTCAATGCATAACATATAACAAATTAATATGATGATTTAAAAGATTATAATTTTAAAACATCTGCCATTTATTAACTAAGCTCATTACATGAAAAATGTTTTAAATGTTAATGATAATTACGTATCACTTTTTTATATGAATTTCAAAACCACTTTATGATAGTTTTTTCTTAATATTGTGAGTAATATGCCAAAGTAGAGTTTTATATTTCTTAGTAACAGATATAAATAATATTTAAATTAACTGACATTTTTAAACAGTAGGTATATATTTACCTAGGTATATATCCAAAACAATGCTTAAGAAGAAGAATATTTTCAAAATAAATTAATTGTAGTAATTAATACATAGAAGAAATTATATTAGTTTATAAAATAATACTTTTTTCACCTCTTTTGGGAGATTCTTCTACACATGCAAAGTCTTCAATTTTATCTTCCTCAGACATAATTTCTATAACTGATGACTCAAGTTGGTAAGTATTGAATTCTTAATCTGTTGTACTACAAATGATACATTTTTATATTACAGTCAATGGTCAAAGCACTAATCAGTCCAAATTAAATAAATACTTTATGTGTATTGTCGTCTTAATACTCGTATGTAGTATTTTCTATATTATAATAATTAATTAATAGTAAAATAATTTATCAGAAAAGAAGTATAATCTTTAGAATGTTTTTATTTTTAATTTGTATATGACATATGTGATATTATTAACAAGTAGTTGTAGTAGTAGTTTGTAAGTTTTTAAATACCATAGTAGTTAGAACATAATGTTCTAAGCACAAATTTAAGTAATTCAACTACAAAAGGTAAGTGTGAAATACAATATTAATAAAAAAAAAATAATCCTACTACGGCCATAGAACAACGGATAAAGGTGATAAATGATAAATGATAAATGAATAATGATAATAATTAATAATAGGCTGTGCCACGGACTAAGATATAATGGACTGGAAACGAGCAGCTTATTAGTGGCCTCGAAAGTATGTACAAGAAGCAAATGCGGGGGGTCGCAACGATAATCGAGAGTTTACAGCGCCATCTGTATAAAACATGGACTGAGATACAAAATGTGACGATAAATGAAACCACTGGTAGCGCTGAAAACATTCTGATGATGATAACAGAGGAACCTTTTGAGGGCCGTCCCCCGTCCCCCGCCCACCAGTCGTTACCAGTCCATTATAATATCTTAGTCCGTCGTTTAAACTTTAAACTTTAAAGTAGGTACCCATCCATATAGAACATAGTGTCTGATATATATTTTATAGACATAATATAATTATTATGCCTATATTAATAATATATTTTAAATTTTAATATTTAATCATAGATAATTCAAATTTATTTAATGCAATAATTATCAGGGATCAAGTATTCAAGTATCTTACTTTACATGTCTATGGTTCTATGCAAGTATATTATTTAATATTAATATAATATAATAAGAAACAATATTTCCCAATATCATACCAAAATTAATTAATTCAGAATTTTATTTTGCACAGACAATAAAATTATTAAAATTTTGTACTTAAGTCTTGAATTAATAAGAAATAAGAATTAGGTAGTTAACACCAATATATTTTATATTTTATGTGTATGTAATACAATGACCAGAAACTGTTTTGTTCCTCATTGTTATGAGGGTAACAAATCCCAAATTAAAAAAAACAAATTACTCGGAATAAGACAAAAAACCATGTTTACAGCACCGAAGGTAAGATACTAAAATCTAAATTATATTTATTTTAATAGTATTTATGTTTTAAATTCCTACATACTACTATAGTAGTATACCACCATTGATTATAAACACTAGAATTTATGGTACACGTGTCGTATGCTATCTACAGTCAATTTATTGGTGTCGTATGCTATCTACATTAATAAAGTTATCCCATTCTATTTTTAATACTTTAACAACTTGTAACGATTTTATTTATATATGTTGTGTCGTCTAGTATATGTTTGGTGCTTGATAGACTTGTGTGTATTTGTATTTTAGTGTTTATTTGAGTTTTATGAAAATAAGTAATTTAGGTGATTTTACAGAAACATTATTTTTAACGATGAATCTTGTGTCAAATTTTTAAAAGAACGTTGGTTATTACCGAATTCAAATGTATGTACTAAATTAAATTCACTTTAAAATTCACCAAACTCTTAACCATAGTAAGAACTTCATAGATCTACATACAGGTGCTCAAACTCAAACAATTGAGTGCTTATGGAGACACTTAAAGGTCAACTACAATATAAGATCACTTGGTGCAACAAACCTACTCGAAAGGCAATTACAGGAAGAATGGTGGCGTTCAGTCAATCCAACCAATACGTTTGAAAGTTTTTTAAGAGACATAGGTAAAAGATACATTTTTATAAGTCAATTATAATTTCAACAAAAACTGTAAAACTACAAGCTCTAATAAAATTGTTTGGGTAAGGTGAGAATACATTTTTTCTCGTAGATAGCATACAACACAAGTACCGAATTTCTAAATATATTTTGTAATTTTAATTATTACTATTTAAATAGTAAAAATATATAATTATATTAAGTTATAACTCACGTATATAAGAAGTAATAATTTGAAATTTTTTTTTAAAAATATGTATTATGTTATATTGTTATAGGATGCACTTCTTCTGGAGAAATGGTCTAAAGCAATCCAAAGGGCTGATAAAAAATTGCGACCAGGAATTGATTTTGTATGTGAAAAACATTTTGACGAAACTTATATATCTAGATATTTTGAAACTAAGATGCCCGATGGTTCAGTTAATCTAATTGAGAGGGGTAGATTATTATTAAAAAAAAATGCGATACCATCAATTTTTTCAGATTTGCCATGCTTAACTATGAATAAACCAACTAAAAAAAAAATTGCAGAACAAAATATATGTTCTATTGAAACTATTTCAAGTTCAATTGATAATATATCTAAAATTCATGCTAATTTACAAAATACATTAAAAAATATGAAATTACCTGATGATTGGTTTTTTTGTTATGCACATAGTTCATTGGTATTAGGTTATTTAGATTCTAATCATGAACTAATAAAAAGAATTATAATATCGAATAAAGACTTACATTTAAAGGTATGATTTTTAACAACTAATATTAATAATAATATATATTACAATTTACAATATATTTCAGGTATTCATTAAAAACAAACAAGTAAACATAACACAGACTCCAGTTACATGTATTAAAGATATTAAGAAAATTATAAAAACCGTTGATGATATTAAAATGGGCCCTGGAACTGAAATCGATAATAGGTATTGTTTAGTAAACTTTAATTTTTTGAATTTAAAGTTACTGATTTAAATTTTTAAATTATATTATATAGTACAAAATCTGATCAATGTTGTGAATATGTAAATCAACTTTCATTACTGAATCAAGTACAATGTTGTGCTAAGTGTGCAAAAGAAAGAAAGTTTAATATGGATATTCGAGGATTACCCCCCCAAAAAAGTAACATAAAACCAACTACAAAACTTCATATAAAGAATGTTTATTGTAATAAACAACTTAATAATAAATTACATACAGTTAAAAAACGGGAGCAAGGATGTGCAAAGTTAATTGGTAAAATTAACTAGCTAATGTTAAACTAATTAGAACAATTAAATGTGATATAAATTAATAGAAATATTAATTTTTTTATCCGTGGCACTTCAAACAATTTATATTTTAAATTATTAATATTACAACAAGAGCAGGTAATTTGTGTAACTAAAATAATGAAATATAAAATAGTTAATCAGTTTCATTATGCAGTATATTTTTTGTGTACCTTAAAACTAGTTTATGAAATAAACAAAAATTAACTTACTCACTGATTTTCTTAACAAAATAGTTTGATAAATTAGTTAATAATAAGTCTACACTTATATTATATTATACTAATATTATACACTTATCTACATTTCACAGTACACCAAAATAACTACCTATTTAAATAAATAAAATTACAATAACATAACTTTACCATTGGTTAAATTATATTGTATTATACAAGGGAAGACTGCTACTTGGTTTATAGTGCCCCGGGCTCCTATTCGTGTTTATGATCCGGTCCCTGATTGCCACTGTCAGGCCCTTTCTTAAATTAAACTTTTATTATATTGTAGAACTCTTTCCTGATTTTAGTAAGCTTAAAAAAGAATATACTGGCCCATAGGCTCCCGCAGGGGGGAGCCAAAGGGGCCATTCCTCCCCCTGGGCATTTTGAACTGCATGTTCTTTAATATCAATATCGCTATAACTAATATTAGATTATAAATAATTTTTATCTTGCCCCGGGTGGGATTTAATCCTGCCGGCGCACTTGTAACTGGCCCATAATTAATTTTGTACCCTGAATCATAAATTATATGTTATAATATAAATGTTCTATGTTTATATGTACCTATTTACCTCTTTTTTACTTATACATGATTTACTATTTATATAAATTGAGCACACACTCTAAATTACTACCTTCTATATACAGGGTGTATCTTATGTCATTGTACCTGGGATTTTTTAACGATTATGGATCGATGACATAGAATTACGTTAAAATGAAATAAGACGTGTTTCTTTATTTTAAACAGGCATTTTTTTTATAACAATTTCAAAATTTTTAAACACGCAAATGTATCAATAGCAAAATCAACTATTTAAAAGGTAGTTATATGAAAATAATATTTAGCTCTTGTAAATTAAACCTATATCAATTATTTCAATTAAAAGTATTAATGCATATTTTCTTAACTTTAGAGGACCATAGTTAATAAACTAGAGAACTAAAATTGATAATTTGACACTCAAAATTTTCAGAAAAAAAAGCTTTACCAGAATCCATTACAAATATAGTAGTTACCATTTGAAAAAATAAAGTTGATTTTGTTATTGGTACACGTGCGTGCTTAAACATTTTGAAATTGTTATAAAAAAATTGCCTGTAAAAAATAAAGAAACACGTCTTTTTCATTTTAACGAAATTCTATGTCATCGATCCATAATCATTAAAACCCCCGTGTACAATGACATAAGATACACCCTGTATATATATTATGTGTATATGCCTAAACAGTAAACACACATATATATATAAGGATTTAATTATACAGTAAAATAACTTACCTTGATTCGACTGCAGACTGAAGAAATAGGTTTACTATTGATTTACTTATGATTTAGTATTAATCAAGAATATAATTAGTATATTGGAGATTTAAAAATTACATTTATTATTTGAAACACAAAAGTATTACACTGAACATATATTATATACCTATCTCATTACGTATGACTGTCACCAAGGGCATACGCAGGGAGAATGCTGTAGTGTGGATCGGACCGATGGTCGATGAGTATCGTCCGAGCCGATGAAACAGTTTATTTGACAAAGAAAAAGGGTATAATAGTATGGTATAAATGTAAAATGCACTATACTATTATACATTTATACAATATTATAATATAGGTATATGTTAGGGTTATGATGACGACACTCTTTTTAGAATAATATATTTATGAAGAGTGGCTATCATTATAATATGTAGTAGGTAGGTGTATAATAATTTATAATATGTAGATTGTAGGTATCTGTTTTTTTCAATTTGACAATTTACATGGTGTTTTATTGTAAAAATAATTAAAAATATATAAATAAAAGCTTTCATTATAGTAATTTAAGGGCCGTCCCACGATTTGCTAGGCTCAGGGCAGAGTAAAATATCATTATTGTCAGTTGCATATATACATAGGCGTGTTTACGGGTATGTCCAACCTGGCCATGGCCAGACCTACGAAATTATCTGCGCCCTCCATTATAGCCATATTATATTATTTATATTATTAGATTCTTATCACAGACAATTTGCAATATCTCGGCTATCTGATAAAAGTAATTAATAAGAATCACTTTTTTATTTATCTGTGCTGAGAATCAAATTTCATAACTATTTGATGTAATCTGAGTATTTACTATTTAATAAGCCAACCTATGAAGTATCTACGAAATATTATAATTGTACCTACCAAAAGGTAATATTAAAAAAATTGTCGAAGGTGAAAAAACTTATGAGTAGGGCCTGAAACTTATTGCATTGAAGATCATGAAAATACGCATGTACAAATGCATTAATATATCATAAAAAATGCACAAAACAAGTTTTATGCTCTCAAATATTATGCAGTTTTTTTAAGAGGACGTCTTATATCTGCATGTGTGTCTTACACACCTATGACATACAGGGCCTGATTTAATAAAACTAGGGCCAAGTGCACAATTTTTTTTGGATCCCCCCAAGTTAAAAAAATATTCTAGACAAAATTTACATAATGAGAAGGAGGAGGGAAATGTTGATAATAAAAAAATATATATTGATATGTTAAAAATGTTTAATACCTATCTCAAAACTCTTAAAATATTTGTACATTTATTATATGTACTATAAATGCAATTTAGTTACTTGGTCTAGTAAATTGAAAAAATAATATTAATTAAATAACATAACAAAATTATAATATTAACTTGCTGATCCCGTGCACATTTTGACCGTTAAATGTATCAACTCTATATGACTCAGACTTTGTTCAATTCGTTATTTAATATTCGGCGTATGGTGTTCAAAATTATCTTAACTTTTCCTTTGCCCCGAATAAAAATTCTGATTCGCAGCAGTACATTAAGGCAATCTACCTGCGGTAGATCGCGGACCCCTTGCTGTTTGTACGTAAGTGTATAATTTAACTCTAAAGTATCGAAGTTATACCAAGTTTGTCGTTTTTACTTAATTCCACCTACGGTAGATTACTATCTATATTCTATGATTAATATAATCAATTTATACAAAATCCTATCCTAACCTAACCGTACTAATATCCGATGAATAATAAAAAAAACAAATTTAACCCTTTGTAAATTAACCTATCTCTTTCCCAGAGGTCTAATCTACACTCAAACATTAATTTATATACCTAACTATATAAATACACAGACTATAACTATACAGACTAAACTCTGGAACTACTATTGTCTATTATATATATGTATATTGACAAAAGATAATAATACAAATCAACAAACATGCCCGATTAACCAATAGAAACCAATATATTATACACCAGTGGATTTTCTTAAAATTTTCTTTCATATAAACCATCTCCGTGAAATACTCTTTTGTTTAAAAAAAAAATCAAGAAGATCTGATAAGTAGTTCCAGAGTCTAGCCTGTACAGAGATTTTCATTTCACATTTTTATAGTTAGATATTATATTATAATTTATATTTAAAAGGTAAAGCGAATAGTTTTTTTATTATTATTATTATTATTATTATTATTATTATACAGCTTAAAAACCCATCATTGCTTATAGACGCATAATAATATTACTGATTGAATATGTATATGTACAATAACAAATAGTCTATGTATTATAATAATACATTTTTTGTCTGTTCTCGTGGCAATGAATTTAAACGATTCACTATAATTCTGTATTGAAATTTCTAGAACAAATCATTTTATACGACGTCACTCATGGCAACCATTTATAAACAAAAATTTCTATCCGAAATCTCAAAATGCCCGTCTTTACACCTCTCGGGGTTGGTACTCTCCCTTTTTAAATTAGCTTATCTTATAAGTTCGGCTAAATTACACACATTGTAAAAGTTTCATCAAGATCGGTCTAGTCAGTAGTTTATTCGGAGTTTATCCCGGATTTTTATATATATAAGATGTTTTGAAAATTTTATGGTGTATAGGTAGAAAGTTCTAATATTACATTCAGTAAAAAAATCATATATTTACGGTTAGGTTATGGTTAAAACAAAAACTATTTTGATGAAAACTGGTTTTGCGTAAGAAATCCCGTTTTTCCATCATCTTTTTTTGATTTCATCGATTTTTTGAAAACCACTGTAAGAAAAAATAATGACCAACCATATACCACCTTGATGTACCTGCTAAATGTTTTAAACTTTCCAAAGTACCAAACATAGATACCTAACGACTCGTTTAGATGCTTCAATTCCATTGTCATCAAGAAGTAATAGTCTATATAAGTACTCTATAGTGTTGCCGCGAGGGTGGCCATAGTTGTACTCCCCTCATCTACAAACAAATTATACAGTTTATATTATATTATTATAAAGAAATAGCTCTATAGACTATAATCATTCATAAAAAATAATAACTCAAATTAGGTACCTACCTAAAAAAATATTCTCATTCTTTTATTGTTTTTGGATCTAATGGATTTTTGATTGTTCGTAAGTTTTTTACAGTTCGTTAAGCAATTTCTTCGAGTGGAATTCTGGCTCTAATGTTATTTTAAGTTTTAGATACCTCTTAAGAGTAAATCTGAGATAGGATCACACTCGAATATGCAGCTTTAAGTTTAATTGAAAAAAGGTGCTCGGCTGTACTGTAGGTTACAAGTGGGTTACTATATAATGGCTGGTATTAAATTTTTAAATCAATGATATAATATATAATTGTATAAGAAAAACGATTCTGAGCGGAGACGGTATGTCAGTCTAGGTTTAAGACATACTATATACATATCTATGGTTTAAAACAAAAAAATGACCTATAATAGGTAC